TTAGTATCATTCAGTAAATTACTGAATACAAAGGTCACCTTTAATCAGATAATTACCTTTAAGGACATGAATGGTGACATGTCCGGGGTCTCTACTCAAGGGCGGATGTACTCTCATTACGTCTAGAAAACACGCACAAACGCGTTTTATTAAGTGCGCTGTTTAATCGAACCAGTATATAATACAAATACTAGTAAGGTTATTACAAAAATTACAAAGTTTATTGGGAAAATAATAATAATGAAAAACAACCAAAGCAACTAAGATCAGACATATTACAAAACAGCTGTTTCCTGAAAGATCATCTAGTGATAGGAAAAATGTCATGTTTCACAAAATATGTAATAGTTTAATAAATAGTATATCATTCAGATATCTTCTCTTTACATAACTTCGAAAGCTAGGAAAAGTAGAAACAGTAAACACTATAGCTACATCACCAAGCACTTTTACCGTATGCTCCTTCGGAACACCTCGCCGATTATTCCTAATTTGAGCTTATCCATGCAGATACAATTCGATTTTTTGAAAGCCAAGTACTATATATATACGTGTATGTGTCCAATATAGTCATTCTTTTAAAAACATTTTTTGTAACTTACTCCATAAGGGCATTTTTTGTAACTTACTCCATAAGGGAAGACCCGTTGCTAATGTTGAGACAAATTGTGGGTCAATCCTTTTGCCAAATATGTTTTACTATTGTATTGTAACTGTCTTTTACGGTGGCACAAAGGTGACATGTGTGTGTTTTTTTTTATCTCGTGCGCACGAGATACTATGTCGTGGCCACGAGTTACTAACTCGTGGGAACGAGATAATTAAGTCGTGCGCACGAGATAATTAACCAATCAAAGATTACACAATTTTAAGAATTTTCCCAGTTAACTAGAAATGTGTTATATGACAAGGATGCCCTGTCAAAGTGCCATTTATACAAGTAATTGACTGGACAATGATTTTACATTTAGCGTCATTGTGACCCTGATTTTTGACCCAATGACCTCAAAATTATTAGGTGTCATCTACTGATCAGGTGCAATGATCTTTCTAGGTTAGATAAACAATGGCTTATTCCTTCTAAAGTATTCATCTGACAAGGATTTTACATGACGTATCATGGTTCCCTTGACCCTAGACCTCAAACATCCATATAGGCTATATACAGGCCATAGGCAAGTCCCTACCAAATAAAATAAACCAGGACTTATTCCTTCTCAAGTTATCGTACAAACAAGGTTAACAGGCCGTTGTACGTACATACTCTCCAACTTTACCACAAAGGGCCATAACTTTGTCAGAATTAATGTCTTTTTTATGGGCCTTGGAAGGTGACTTTCTAATATGATTGTTAAATTATCTCGTGCGATCGGCTTAATTATCTCGTGCCCACGACTAAGTGTCCCGTGGCCACGACATAGTATCTCGTGCGTCTGATTTAATTATCTCGTGGCCACGACTAAGTAACTCGAAGCCACGACTTAGTTTCTCGTGCGCACCACTTGAGTAACTCGTGGCCATGTCATAGCATCTCGTGTGCACGAGATATATAAAAACGCACAAATGTCACCTTTCTTAGTCGATCAAAATATTTTTACCATCAAGTGCCTATGTACTGACTATCATGCTTTTAGAAACCGGAAGTACACCTGTACGCCTCGGAATTGGTTCACATTCTAAACTTGATTATGATTTTCAGACATATTCTTAGTCATAATATAACCGAAACTACGGTGTTCCGTTTCGTGCATCGCGGGTGGAGACTAAATAAAAAATCACGATTGTCCAAACGGAATACCGTACGAAGCAGACTTTTCCATGAGTGTCAAATAACATTCGTTACACTAAAAAAAGCGAGGTTTACGCAAGCATAAAGTGGCTTCGAAGGAACTGGTTAAACGGAAAGGGATAAGTCAAATGTAACCCGAAGAAAGTTGTGATGTAAGTGAAATGATTTGTCATAAAAGTAGCAAAATGTGATAGTACTTTTACTTCTGTTAGAATATTATTTAAATTACCAAAAAATATACTAGGCACCTTAATTTAACGGCAATTATGGTGTATTTCTTTAATAACTAATAATGTGGTTGTTTTTGTTGTTTGTCTTTTTGGCCAAGCGAGTGCATTTTTCCCGCGTCCTTTTATTTTGCGGAAATGGTATGAAAAAAGTTCCATTCCTGGCCTGTCACTTCTATATGTACCTTAAGCACAGTGTTTCAGTAGAGGTTCGGGTGGGATATGAGTAGTAGGACTTAAAAAGAGTTTAACAAATTTCGTTTTATTTGTTGTATTTTCTATTTTTATCTCTTTTAGCAATTTAAATTTAAATATATATCATCTAACTTACTTACTTAACATAATTTACATATCAAAAGTTTGAATTTAAATATAGATAAAAACAGTTTTAATTACTAAAACAGTTAAAAACTTAGATCTATGAAAAACAATAAAGAACATTTTATTGCACAGTGTCCCACATTACTATATCACTTTTACTATTCCTCTTGTACATACAATGTATTTTTAATGATACGTGTATTTCATTTACATTTTTGTCCGTAGCGAAATTCAAAGGACTATTATTATCAAAAATGAAAGTTCAAATAAAGTGAGTTTGTTGGTCAACATTCTTAGAGAGTTCATAATGTCTAGAAACATTTTCTGTGTACAATGGACGGTCCAGCTTCGTCGTATTCCTGTTTGCTGATCCACATCTGTTGGAAAGTTGAAAGTGAGGCTAAAATAGAACCACCGATCCATACAGAGTATTTTCTCTCTGGTGGGGCAATGACCTTGATCTTCATTGTTGCCGGGGCAAGGGAAGTAATCTCCTTTTGCATTCTGTCTGCGATACCTGGGTACATAGTTGTGCCACCTGATAAGACGATGTTGGCATACAAGTCCTTACGGATATCAACGTCACATTTCATAATACTGTTGTATGTTGTTTCGTGAACACCAGCGTTTTCCATTCCGAGGAAGGAAGGCTGGAATAATGCCTCAGGGCAACGGAATCTTTCATTGCCAATTGTTATAATTTGTCCATCAGGTAATTCATAACTTTTCTCGAGAGAGCTTGAGGTTGCAGCCGTCTCCATTTCCTGTTCAAAGTCCAAGGCGACATAACAGAGCTTTTCCTTAATGTCTCTAACAATTTCTCTCTCAGCTGTTGTCGTGAAAGAGTAACCTCTCTCTGTAAGGATCTTCATCAAGTAGTCAGTGAGATCTCTTCCAGCAAGATCTAAACGCATGATGGCGTGAGGAAGGGCATAACCTTCATAGATAGGTACAGTGTGCGATACTCCGTCGCCGGAGTCCATCACAATACCAGTGGTTCGACCGGAAGCGTAAAGTGACAGGACAGCCTGGATAGCTACATACATGGCTGGGGTATTGAAGGTCTCAAACATGATTTGAGTCATCTTTTCTCTATTGGCCTTAGGATTGAGAGGGGCTTCAGTGAGAAGTACCGGGTGTTCTTCTGGGGCAACACGGAGTTCATTGTAGAAAGTATGATGCCAGATTTTCTCCATGTCGTCCCAGTTGGTGACGATACCGTGTTCGATTGGGTATTTCAGAGTTAGAATACCTCTCTTGCTCTGTGCTTCATCGCCGACATAGCTGTCTTTTTGTCCCATACCAACCATCACACCCTGAAAAAAAATGCATATGCAAATTAAATAAAAAACAAAAACGATCAGACCTAACATGATTTATTGTGATTCAGCATCGTAAGACCGACCTTAATGTACTCATTCATTCATTTGACTTTATTTTACTGGGACACTAGCATTCACGTTAAGAGCAGTCTAATATTGGAATCTTTGAATTTTTCATACACCGAAATCAACATTTTGAATTTATTTTGAGTCATGTATATGAAGTATTTCATGATATATTTTGTGCAACGTTTATACAGTGTAAGAATTTGAAAAGTAAGCTGATGCTGATTAAAATTAGACATAAATATATTCAAATTTTCAATTTCATTGTCAAGTTTTTGTCAAGGAATCTCATAAATATTGTAATTGCCGGAATAAAAGGCGATTCGCCTTGCCAACTAGTATAGAGTCAGGTCGGCCTGCACTTCCGTGTAGTCTGACCAGCTCTGTTCTGTTGGTGCCTTTTTTTCTTCTTATTTTTTTGTATTTTGAAATTGAATACCATGGACTGTAATGAATTCATAGAAAGCCAACCCCGTTGTAGAAACTCGTCAGGGGAAGGTTTAATAATTGTTAACTGGTTCGAGAAGAGTCTGAAGAGTTGGAGAGTATTTTATTTATTTTAGTAAACTAAGCGGAATATATTCTGTCTACTATCGTGTTGACTCGGTTAACTTTAAATGTTCTGATGAAAAAATGGGCGTATCAGATGGTGAGCTAATAAAATCGCATACCTGATGTCTGGGTCTGCCGACAATCGAGGGAAACACGGCTCTCGGGGCGTCGTCGCCGGCGAAGCCAGCCTTGCACATACCGGATCCATTGTCTACAACCAAAGCTGCAACATCTTCGTCACACATTTTTATTTATTTAATAGTTACTTTCCTTTAATAACATAAATACGAACGCCCAACTTAATTATACTGATTTCACATGTAAAGATATGTACATATATATCAGTTTGTTATCAGCATTTTAGAACAAACGTGAATATCTAATCAAGTCTATTCCCATATTTGGACATACACCCTATAGTTCGATACCTCCATATATGGTAATAAGATACTATGCAACGGTAATGGCCCCAGTTACTGATAGGGCCATTCTATTGATTTGTATTTAGATATTTGTTATCTATTTATGGCAAACCCGATCAAAAAATTGAATAATTGTTTAATCGTAGTTTAAATATGAAACAATCCAAAATTTATCTCAATTGATATTTATCCGTAATATTTAAAAATACATATGACGGTATGTGCACTGACGGTATAGGTAAAAATAGTTACTTCTTCAATGCTTACATCAACAAAAATTGCGCGTATTTTATTGATATGTATTAAACATATTTTCCTAGATAATAAAAGTATGTTGAGAATATGTCTGATTATCCTCGTACACGTGCATCAGACACGAATCTTAAAAGAACCGCCGGGATTCGAACTCACAACGTTTAGGGGCAAATAATTTTAAATCTGAACTAGTTAGGCACAGAAGCGCTATTTTAAGTCGTATATGCGTTGTTAACTTTTTAACTTTTTTTCATAAAAACGTATAAATTTATGTTGATGTTTATTTTGTAATTGTTTTTTTCCCTTAAAGTTGCCGGCAAGTGTGAGTTACATGATCTGATATTACATACATTAAAATTACATATAGCAGATAATAAAAATTTTCTATAACAAAATATTATTATTCAATATTCATCATATAGATGTTCATTCAGTCACTTTGAACTATTTCCAAACAACTTTTTATAATTTGTGAGAAAAATATCAGAATATAATCATCTGATATATTACAGTAAAACACTGGAAAGCATGAAACAAAATAATAATAAAAAGAGCAACAACAAAAACGTACTTAAAATTGAAATTTTAGCTCCATAAACCAAAACATAGATGGGACTTTAAACCTGAGTTAGGCGATCATTGAATGGGTCTTTAAAGTCTGTTGGGGCGTCCGTGGTCGTTGACTTCAAACCACTTGCCCCTCACCGCTGTGGGTTCGCATCCCATTCTTTCATGTGAGGAAGATATCCAGCTTACGGAACGTGGGTGGTTCTACTCAGGTGCCCGTTCGTGCCTGAAATAATGCACGGAAGGGCACTTGAGGTCTTCCTCCACCAGTAAAGCTGGAACGTCGCCATATGACATATACTGTGTCGGTGTCACGTAAAACCAAATCAAACAAACAAATTAAGTCTGTTCTTACTGTGATGTGAACATGTTTACTCTGGTTATCATAACCACTTAATATAAGTGATATATAGAGATATATCCCGCGTGTCATCTTGTACCAAACTAACACAGATAAATCTACACTGGCCTAATCACGCCTATATATTATACCTATATAATATCAGTCATATATAAAATGTATATTTATTGACACATAAAGAGGAGGAAACGACATAACAATACAAATTATTTTGTAGAGTACGTACAGCGTAAAATTATTTTTTTATACATCTGAGAATTGCCTGATATATTTGGCTTTCACAGGAAATACACAGGCATAATTTTCATTTCTTCGTTTTTATTTTTTCATAAATTATTCTGTAAATGTCCTCAAAATAAATACACTAGGCAGTTATAGGAACAAAAAATTTCTTTCTTATAAGGAATAAAATGGTGGTTTCCTAACTTGACCCACGTGGGTCAGGTTAGAGCGTTAAGATTTCACAATAGTTGCCACAGTGAACTCTGGAAACGTTAAAGAACATGTCAAAGGTGGATGACTTAGACTTGTTTTAGTCATACAATATCCACAGTATCTTTTTTTGTAATTTCCAGGGTTTGAGCACATTAAATCATTTTAATATTCTGTCATTTATTTGCCCGTGTATCTCTATTGATCTATAGAGATATTATTATTTTCACAAAAGCTTTTCATTGCTGATGCCTTACTTTTAGTTTCCAAAAGCAACTCATTGGTAACATACCTGAGTACTCTGTTACTTACTACTTTTCTCATTTAGATTTAAGATTTTGTCTGGAAGTAAAAAAACAACAACAAACAACAACAATTTGTTTACATATTGTAAGAAACTTTTCATAAATTTTGTGAAAAAATCTAAACGTATAATTTTCAGTTATTGGGGCATTTTTGAAAGTCATTGTTTGCACTGTGTTTAAGGAATAACTTTAAAGAATCGGACGAATTCATGAGTATCCTGCACATTCGTGTTGAAAGTGTATAGTGGTCTTAAAATGAGTCAATTCGCAACAGTTTTACCCTTTCGTACATTGCATAGTTCAAACACACGACTAATTCTAAATTACTAAATTTCTGATACTGGACTGGTTTGTTATTTTTGGGATATTCTATTGCAAACCACAATTACTTTAATTTGTACAATGCGATTGACTGGTTATTTTAGAATCACATTGCTGCCTCTGGTTGATTTTTCACAGCATCATACTAGAATCTTTGTCACTTAGACATCAGTAACACAAGTGCTTAGTAACTAAGTGAACATCAGCAGCCAGTGTTACTTGTTTAAACTTACAAACGATTTTGTATCAATCACCGGAATGGTTAAAAAACCAAGACATTTACTCAATGGTTCTATGTTTGGCTGAAAAAAGTAATACTTAACGTATATAAAATAGCAAATAATCTAAGTCTACTCCACACAAACACCCCTGAACATTTTTAAGTGGCCAACATCATATGGCTGAAAAACTGTTACTCTGAACACTATTACCTGGCCAAAATTATATGGCTGAATATGGTTACGCTGAACACTTTTATTTGGCCGATGTTATATGGCTGAAATACTGTTATCCTGAACACTATAAAATGGCCAAAGATATATGGCTGAAGAATTGTGTTTTTTTTTCGATGCACCTTTTATTGAAGAGTTCTTCCATCTTGAAAAATACTATAAAAGTAAGTTAAAAAGTAAAATTAAGTATATGCAGAATAAAATGTTATAGATTCCTGTCAACACTGCAGCATACTGTCATTACTGGCGCCAGTTATACAGTGTGGTATTTATGTGCCTTGTACACTGGTGGTCATATGCGGAAATAACTCTTACTTTCCTCGTAGTTAGTTAGTAGGATATATTTGGTGGCGGTACAATATAAAACAGCACTTAATGATTAATTAAGTGATACTTTACAAATATATTTTTATCAATGGTACGATTCAATAAATACAAGATGAACTTGTTCACATATACATAATTTATTTCAGCATAAAGTACAAGTATAGCATTTTACACTTAATATAAGTTTCAATAACTCAATAATAAGTCTTGATTTATGGTACTTTACAATATGTAAAATTCCTTTTGTGAAAGAGAATCCTTGTAGAATAAGCATATGTTTGAACATATAAATACACATGTCCTTATATGATTAATATCTATTTTACGTAATATGTTAACAGCGAAACCGGACGTGCGATCTTTTCCTAACCGCAAGAGATTTTTTGCTGAAAATCAAAATGTTATGTTACACAATAATTTTGGTAATAATTTTCATACCATCGGTTTAAATGGTCCGTCATTACGATATAATTTCAAATTAACCTTTTCATTGATATAAGTTTCATCAAAAGCCTTTTTTTTACAATTTATTGTGTATTTACTAAGTACTTGAATACCTTATGTAGAATCTAATGAAAAAAGTATTGTTTTCATTATTTTGAATATTTGCTAATGAAAATTAGAAACATTTTCTGTGTACAATGGACGGGCCAGATTCATCGTATTCCTGTTTGCTGATCCACATCTGTTGGAAAGTTGAAAGTGAGGCTAAAATAGAACCACCGATCCATACAGAGTATTTCCTCTCTGGTGGAGCAATGATTTTGATCTTCATGGTTGATGGAGCCAGGGCTATGAGTTCTTTCTGCATACGTTCTGCGATTCCAGGATACATTGTTGAACCACCGGACATGACGACGTTAGCGTAAAGATCTTTACGGATGTCGACGTCACACTTCATGATACTGTTGTAGGTCGTTTCATGGATACCTGAGGATTCCATACCAAGGAAAGATGGCTGGAACATAGCCTCTGGAGCACGAAAACGCTCGTTACCAATCGTGATGACTTGACCATCGGGGAGTTCATAATTCTTTTCCAGCTGACTTGATGTCAATGCAAGTGACATTTCGTTGTCGAAGTCGAGAGCAACATAACATAATTTTTCTTTAACATCTCTTACGATTTCTCTTTCGGCTGTCGTGGTGAAAGAATAACCACGCTCTGTAAGGATCTTCATAAGATAGTCTGTCAGATCTCTTCCGGCCAAGTCCAATCTCAAAATGGCGTGAGGAAGAGCGTAACCTTCATAGATAGGTACAGTGTGCGATACTCCATCTCCAGAGTCCATCACAATACCAGTGGTACGACCGGAAGCGTAAAGTGACAGGACAGCTTGGATAGCTACGTACATGGCTGGTGAATTGAAGGTCTCAAACATGATTTGAGTCATCTTTTCTCTGTTTGCCTTAGGATTTAGAGGGGCTTCGGTGAGAAGTACGGGGTGTTCCTCTGGGGCAACACGGAGTTCATTGTAGAAAGTATGATGCCAGATTTTCTCCATGTCGTCCCAGTTGGTGACGATACCGTGTTCGATTGGGTATTTCAGAGTTAGAATACCTCTCTTGCTCTGAGCTTCATCGCCAACATAGCTGTCTTTTTGTCCCATACCAACCATCACACCCTGAAAAAAGAATGAATCATGTTCATGACAATAAAGATTCATCTGCTTTACTAATCATTCATATGCAACATGGATGAGAATGTTTTTTTAAGTAAAAGAGACAAAAATCTCATTTTAATCAAATTTCTTACAAAATGGTCGGTACAGATGATTAATATATAGATAAAAGAAAATCGATTTGTTTTTAAAAAATGAAAGCGTGCTGTTGATATTGAAGATGTTGATCTTGTTGCTGATGTTGTTGTCAGTGTACATGACACTAATGCTCGCTACTTGTCCCTTTACGCTGTGAATTCGATTCTTGATTTTTTTAAGTTGGAAATGATACTAAAAGCGAACTCTATTGCTACATAAAGTATGTAAATCACGTATCTTAAAATTTGAAACGTATGTAAAAGTTAATCATCTACACATTTTTTTTTCAAACTAACATTGAACTTGTAATTCCGTTACTCATCATAACTTTGTTGAAGTATCAAACAATGTCAGACGGGTAATAAAAGTTTAACGGAACCATCGACTTTTGATAAGAACGTTGATTCGCCCCTTACAAGAAATAAACCAACATCTTGCTGGCTTCCAGTCAATTACGGAATGCATAAACTTGACCATGGAGACATCGCACAAAAATGTATGGAAACTATAACATGTTTACATTGTTTTTATATTGCGAACTCTGAATGAAAACATCCAAAAATAAAATGTTTTAGTAATATTAATCATACCTGATGTCTAGGTCTGCCGACAATAGATGGAAACACAGCTCTCGGGGCGTCGTCGCCGGCGAAGCCAGCCTTGCACATACCAGATCCATTGTCTACGACCAAAGCTGCAACATTATCATCATCGGCCATGTTTTAAATAGATTTTAGAGTCTTACACAAACCCTGTAGTAATGTTAAACAAGGAAAACAGACTGTGCAATCAAAATCTATCAATTTTGTACCTTTATCTTAAAATCAAAGGAAATACGACCAGGAAACCCCAGATACACTCGGAGCACATCGTTAGTCAACAGTAGTCCTTATCCGAAGTTTTACGAAAATTGTCGAAAACTTGCGATTGTCCTGGATGTGGTGAGACAAATCCATAAAAGGAGTGACTGTGTGCTCTGCAAACCGAAAACAATAGCTAGATACTACAAGTTTGAAATACATGTACATCTTTTCCGGAGACAATTGACATTTCATAGGAAATCCTGGTTTAAATAAGTGGCTATTCTGACTTAAATATGTATGTACATGCATCGATGTTTGAAACACATGTATTTAAACATTAAAAGATCGAAATTATGTTGATTTCCTCACAATTTACCGGTATATTGATAAAACTGATTTGCCCTGATATTCCGGGACACATAGCTTTATATAGAAATACAAGTGTATGAAAAGACATACGAATAAAATATCTCATCAAGCGTCATGAATAAACAACAAAAAAGGCACCAAACTCGTAGAATTCAAAATGAGCCGCGTCATGACAAAACCAACATAATGGGTTTGCGACCAGCATGGATCCAGACCAGCCTGCGCATCCGCGCAGTCTGATCAAGTTCCATGCTGTTAGCTTACAAACCCTATTACAAGTAGAGAAACTGGTCGCAACCCCATTATGTTGGTTTTGTCATGACGCGGCTCAAATATCTTATTCTTTTTATATAAAAAAAACGAGGCTTAATTAGTCATGTTTATCTCATATTATTGTGACCATGATAATAAGTAAGTACTATATTCACTTTTTAAAAACAAAATTAATAAGGGGTCTGAATTGTGTAATAACAGCATACCGCATTTGTAAATGTTTTCTTTTTAAATACAATATAATTCCTCGCTTTAACGAGTTTGAATCCCATCAGTGCTTGGTTTTAATATTGCAATGTCGTTTCCACAAGATAACATGAGATTTGTAGTGTCGTTGTTAAATGAAATCCTAATCGCCATCTTCGGCTCTTTCAATTCTTCCAATAGTCTGGAATTCCTTTGCCTTACACTTCGTTAGTTTCCGTAGTAAAAGTAGGCAGGGAACCAGACTATATGATCATCGAGTTTGAGCATGAATTTGTTGATTTTTTTAGGGTTTGAGCGGAGCTATATATATCCATGGGGTTTAAGAGCAGACCCCGTTTCTGAGCGAGTCTTTATTAAAAAGTGCTCTGACGGTTTGAGCGACGCCTAATACGGGTTGATCCTGGTTGCATCAGGTTTCGAGCGACGCTTTGAACACTGAAAAGTAGCATGCTTTATAGAGGAGTATAAACATTAGCTTTTAGATGAGAGGCTTCGTTGAGAAGTAACCCATTTGTTTGAAAAAAAAACATTGTTAAAGGCCCATTATGCCTCAGAAATGCTATCATTATTATTTCACAAAACCTAATTTTTTTGTAATCTTGTGACAGTTTCCAAAAAATACTCATTTGCCATATATATGAATTATCTTTATTTCTAAAGAATTTATAGAAAATAGATTATTGAGGCATAATGTTCCTTTAATGTAACTCAGATTTTTGAAATTGCGATGCCATGCAAAGCTTCTCCGTGTTTCTGTTATTCTATGCAGATTATCCTTTAGTTTCAGTCAAGCAAAATTATATGCAAAGCGAATACGTAAAAGGTTTATTCATAAATACGTTCCGCGCAAATGCTACTATATTAACGATATATATATATAGATATTGTAATATGTGGGTAAACAAGCTGGAGAGATTAAACAAAATTTTAACACATCAGCAGTTAATATCCGTTTTTACCAAATATGGTCATATTCAAGCTACAATTTATAAATAGACCATTGTATTTATCTAACGTTTATACACTTCAATCGTACTTACATATCTATGATATTTTATATATGTTTAATAGCGTTAAGGCCAGAGTTATTTACGTATGTGATTTGTTGTAACTGATTTGCACATTTACGGGAAGAAATTGAATATCACGATGTTCACTTATCAATGACAAAATACACAATGTGTTCCCATAGTACATCCATTGTGTCCGTGGTGTATTCTGATAATTCATAGTGTTCCTAGTGGTTATCCATAAAATGTCATCAGAGTATCTATTTGTTTTCATAGTGCAACCACTTTATGAGAGCACTTTGTGTACACTATATGTACACTTTGTGTACACATGAGTGTACACATAGTACGCACTCTGCAGCTAGGGTACATAGTGAACCCTAGTGTGTGCATGATGCATAGTGTACCCCTAGCGTGTGCATAATGCACCCCTATATGTGCATAGTGTACCCGTAGTGTGCGCATAATGCACCCCTATGTGTGTATAGTGTACCCTAATGTGTGCATAATGCATCCCTATTTGTGCATAGGGTATCCTAGTGTGTGCATAATGCACATCTAGTGTGTACATAGTGTACACCAATGCGTACAAAGTGCACCCCTAGTATGTGCAAATGTGTTTTTATATTGCACCCGCAGGGAGTTTATAGAGTACCCATAGAGTGTTTAATTTGTGCTCATAATGCACCCTTTAGTGTGCTTACAATACACTTATTATCTGTGAGTACTCGCAGTGTGTTCATATTGTATCAGGGATTGTGCCCATAGCGTGTCAAATACGTTCTCATAATGTTAAATTATATGTTTAATATGTGCTCATAATCACTGTGTCTCCATAGTGTACTGTCAGTTAAACATTGAACTATAAAAACAACGGCCTTGTAATTAACATATCACTTGTCAACAGGTCATGTCCGACCTCAAGTGTTTATATGCCCATATATGATAAGTTTGCTACAACGAAAACAAGGGTCTATAAAGGAAGAACAAATATAGTGTTATAACGGATAGGAAACGAAATGCTTACTAAATATTTAACCCCTTAAATATCTCTAAACGGACATGTCTATCTTTCAATCTGGAAAAGATAATTCACCATTTAGGGGGGAAATCTCATAATATGTAAGAACTGAATAGCGAACAGTGTAGACATTATCAAGCGGCATTAGTGGGGTGGCTGATCCTGGTCTCACGAGAGGATAACGCAGACATTAGGCTGCACACCTCCAGACGGAGTAAAAACGTTTTGAAATAAACAAAAATCTTTACTAAAATTAAAAATAAATATTTATTTATTTCAACCTATATGAGGCTCTTTGTGCAAATCATGTAGTTATTTTTTCCTTCTACCGAATAGCGCGCTATATTTCCATTGATGCGGAAGTTTCTTTGCGTTTTATATAAAACATTCAAGAAATTTTTTCTAGATTTCCATAAAAAATGCATAAATCTAGAGCCGTGCAACTTTAAAAAGAAACGGTTGAATTATTTCAATACTTAAGTGTGTAAAGTATTTGATCATTATCATTTTAATACACCAAGCTGCCATAATTCAAATAATATTTATCGGGAGGATAAGATTAAAGGGAAATAAATGATGAACGTTGTTATACATACAAGTCTATTTGATTACCCCCCTTTACTCATGACTAAAGAAACTCAAGCTCGCACCTCCAATAATCTCTCGTCGTCTCTCTTTTATTCTATAATCCTCTTCTTAACAACTCTTTCTTTTTAACCTTCTTTCGATTTTTCTAGCGAAGTCAGGAGTACATCCCTGCGATGTGTTGGACATTCTTTTGTATTACATTTAAACATCGCAGATCAAGAGCAGTTGCACCAGAATTTCATGGAAAAAAATCATTCAGTCACAAACATTTTATTGTTGCCGTTTTGACTAATGCCCAGGTGGGGTGACAGGCTGCAAGTAATGGTACTGATGTGCACAAATACTCAGTATGTAAAGACGGCGAGAAAGGTCAAGTCCTTAGATGCTAATCTCAAATCATTTAAATAGCTCGGATATGAAAATAACATATACACAATGTACAAGTATATAAAAAAAACTTGTGTAAATATCTTTATTCGAAAATAAACATTTCATGCATTATATAATGATTTATTTGCAAAGATAATCAGACATACAGCGTATAAATATGAGTACAATATTTCATAAAATTGTTGTACAGAATTTATTACCATGCAAGTGTCAAGTTGTTTTTTGGTAACACTAAACATTTCAGAATTTTTTTTTTTTTGCATAAAGCAATGTCATTAATCTAGAACAAAAAGTTGATCACAGAATTCAACCCTGTTTAACACAGAATTTACAAGGTTTTAGACAAATAAATAACAACACTGCACAGCAACGCACACCCAGAGTTATCTTTTGATATTTTATTCATTGCAAGGTGAGCAATTCCCTTATGTATTTAAATTTTGCATACTGCAGCAAATATTGAATTTCAATCTTTCATTTCTCTGGAAAAACAACACAAAAATCGTATCAAAACTATACCTAGTGAACAGATATGAAATATTATATAATTTTACAAACTATATCATAGGGGTACCCCTATACAAAGACCTAAAAAATCAGGATAATTCCATTTTAAAAGTGCTCGAGTTTTCAATAACATTTATAACAGTTCAATCCAACTTCACATGCAAAATATTATTCCATCAAGTGTACTTGTTTCTACACCATGATGGTATAACTTAAACTTGTCTTATAAATATATATATATAATAATATACAATATTGTGTATTTCTATATTTTTGGTTGGAATTCCTATCAAATCAACACAGCTAAGTTCATGCGGTGGATTCTGAATTTTACAAGTAAGGGAGATCTTCTGATTCTACTAAACACATTATTTCAGGCAATATTAGATCATTTTTCTTGAACAGCACTGGTTTCTTTTATTATCACAGACAAAAAATGCTATATGTAGGATAATTCAAGTTAAGGAATGTATAATTTGTCATTATTTTCACAATATTTACAATAAACTTTCAATATAAAATCAGTAACAAATTATAGAGTGGAGGTTTTGAAAATGTTCAAATATGCTACAAGGTTTTTTCTTCACAATTTGCACTTCAATAAATAATGTTTAAAACTAACAAATTAAAACAATATACATGTACATCTCAGTCTATTTAGTTACTTTTAAAGTACTAACAAAAACAAACAAAAACAAATACATGTACCAGTACTGAGTATTTCTTTATCATTAAATGACCTATACAGTGCAGCGAATAAAAAGAGAAAAAAAGCATCAAACATTTTGGAACAATTTAGTTTATGAAAATAATCTTAACAATATTTTTCTTGCAAAATTTTATTTATAAGATTTATTTTGCTAGATTACTTTCACACAAAACAAAATAAATTGTTAACCTTTCTCTTTGTGAAGCAGACCAACACCTTAATTTGCAAAACTTTGGACGTTTGCAACCTGTTTTAGAAAGGCACACCTAGGTTAAAAACACCCTGTTTTGATTTACCACATAAGTATAAACGTAAATTGATTTTAAACTTCATTATTTTGTTTCCTTATTAACTAAAATCTATTACACAGATTGCATTTTATCCTTGAATTCTGGAATAAAAAAATGAGCAGCCTTAATGCACACAGTATGGAGTTAGGCTAGCTTGCTTGCACATCATATCAGTCCAACCAGATTTTATACTATTGACTGCCCCAACTTCAAAATTTTGAATTGATATAACCAAATCTGATAATGAATAGTTGCAAAATTAGAAATGAAGTCCTTGTAATAACATCAGCAAGGTGCAAGAAAAATACACTGTTATCAGAAATATACACATAAACATGACCCTATACAGGTGGAAGGTCTCCATTTCACACACCATAACACACATAAAATTATGTAAATTTAGTGCAAAATTATAAAATAATTCTTTGAAAATATACATTTGTTCAATAAAATAACATAGAGAAAATATATATATGGCACTTATCTCTGCTGCTGCAACATAATAACAACAATAATATTACATACATATCACACTAGAATGAGTTTGTGTTGTAACAATGTCATATTAAGACATCTACTTGTCATAACAAACTCCAGCTTCAAGTACTAATGCCTATCAGTTTTAAACATTGTAAATGGTGAAATATTGCCATGGCAACAAACTTACTATCACATGAAACAATATTAACAATCACAAAAGAAAATCAAATAATGGGGAGAACTATGGTGTATATATATGCACATATTTATAATACACTTAAATGATAAATATGTTAGTTAATGGACAGGATTTTCTAAATGACTGATTATAAAAGCTTGACAAAAAGTCACAAAAATATACACTGTATCGAATCAACATCATCACATGTATTAGAGTTAAGTTATGCATTTCATGTTCTATTTTTTGGCAACTGTATCATAGGCATCTAAAAATTGACAAATAATTAGCCCATCTGTTCCAGTCAAACTATTATATCAAATACAAAATTATAAAAATTGCTGTTCTTCAACTTGTGCTAAAAAATCCAAAATTTACACTGTCAATAAATTTTGATTTAACCAGAAAATATTAATTTCTCAACTTGCGCTTAGAAAATGGTCGAAATACAACATTATTAATGCCACCAATTCAGTGTCAGTGTGTTTTAGATAAACTAATTTTTAATTTTGTGAAGTTTTCTTGGAAGGAATGAATGTTGATAAAGCTTGTGACTCATTCCATCTATATAGGTCATGGTCATATTCTGGGGCGTGGCCTCAACGTACGAAAATCCTCCCAGATCTGCCAGTTTTGCCCAGTGGAACTTCAGAGAATCTTTTGGAACATCATCTTCATGGGCTTTACTAGTGTCTACAAAATTAGCTGCCCCGGTAACAAAGTATTCAATTGTGTGTCCATCCTCACTACTTGTCAGATGCTAGAAAAATAAAATCACATTCTTACTCATTAACCTACAGAAATTGTGTAATGGATTTGTCCAGTTTTTAACTTGGAACTTTCTATTCAAAGTTTAAGGAATTCCAATATCAAACTACCAAATTTAAGCTTCCAATTACCAGTTAAGCCATGGACATTATAGAGCATTGTCAGGATGATCTGATGTGCAGGTTGGCATGACTCTATACTGGTGGCAAAGGTTAATCACTTGCAGGTTTTAACAGGTTAAACATTTAAATATCTGACAATTATGCACAATTTTGCAAAGAAGAACATATAAATGTGGTTTACTAATACCAATCATAAAGTAATGTTATTTTGAACTTACATCAACTAACATTGTAGTTATATAAGTAAATATTCTAACATTTCTATGAGGAAAGGAAAACAACTAGGAAACTACAAAATTGCCACCAATAGGTAAAATATACTTGTGAAAAAGATATGCAATTTGGAGTGCACTGTTGTAGAATAATGTACTGCTCAAGTATAACGGCACAGTTATATAATCACAAAGACTGGTAGGTCTGAATAAATAATTACAAAGCATTTGAATGTTTAATCATGCATCCCTCTTAGACAATAGAAGAAATATTAGGAAATTCTGTGCTTAATGAAGCTCCACATAATTTTACAAATTACTGTTGTATAGTTCAAGTTCAATTACCAGTTTCTCCACAAGTAAAGGCAACTTCTCTACATAAATTGTTTGAAACAGCAGTGTAGAAACACAGAAATACACATACAATGTATGGCATCACTGAATACACATGGGGTGCAAGACTCGAAACTAACACATTCAAGGCATGTTAACCTAATTCCTTTACCTATATAGCAATGCAGGCATAAAAATAGAAACTTTACCTGTAAGTTATGATCATGGCCATTAAAGTATGCAGAAACTTTGTACTTATATAACATTGGTTTGAGCCGATCAAGTAAACACTCAGTTGGACCATGTTCTGCTATGGAGTAGACTGGAAAATGTCCCGCAACAAGTAAATAATCAGCTCTGAAACAAAAAACAAATCTGTTTGTTTGGCAAAACAAATCTTAAGAATATTTTAGTCATATTTAGAAAATGGTTACAAGTGTAACTGTATTCTGAAGCTGTTCATACCTGACTTTCGTCAAGTTAATGACAACAAATCATCCCTGTAGACATGTTACTCATCATGTGTTCAGTATATTCTGGATAAATAGTAATATGCATTGTAAACTTTCAAAGTATTGAAATTAAATCTGTTATTAACACTTCCCACAAATCAGTTCTGAATGAAAAGCGAACAGTGTTAACCATGAGCAGACAGCTCAAATGATCTTGGTCTGCTCAAGTTGCATGGGCAGATTCAATCACTGCCAGCATGCTAACGATTTATAGAAGACTCATTCACTGTTCACATATGCCATTAACATGAATACATCCAAGACACAAGAACATCAGCTAATTTTTAAATGTAATCGTTCATATTGACTTGCCTATGTTATCAGTATAGACCAAGATAGCTCACAAATTTATTCAGGCCATTTAGGCTTAATATTACTGGGGACTTAAAGTTTGACCCCCCCCCACACACACACACATTTATCATTGTACACTTCCAAAATACCAGGTAGGTAAAATCCATCATAAAAATTTACCACGGTCAAGTGGTTTTCAAATTCCTAAATTTCTGAAACATGCAACATGTATTTAATTGGGTGTATGTTAAAGCTTTATTTGAAAATGCCTGTTTATTAACAAGTATAACATACATTGATGTCTCTAGTTGCTTTTCTATCCAACGCCACTGATCCTCAGCTGCCTTTATATCTTTAGGTCCCTTAGGTTGATCACCAATGAAATCATGTCTTGTGTTACCACACAACAATATTGTGTCAATCATCACAATATCTACTGTAGCTCCCCCTGGGATTGGAAATCTCAAAGCATAGTAATAGTTGGGAAAATTCCTGAAATTCCAAGAATTTAGCATTTATTGAATATAAGGTTTAGCTTTCTGAAATTAGTGCTGCAATCCCTCGATTATTATCTTGTTACATGTAAACAGATGATGGTGTCTACAGCCCAGATGATCTTTATCTCCACTGGTTGCATGGGCAGATTCAGTCACCACTAGCATACTATGAATTAATAGAAGACTGTTCACAAATGCCATTAACATGAATTCATCCAAGATACAAGAATATCAGCTAATTTAAATTAACCCTTTTAATGTTATTGTCATATTTACATGCTATCAGTATAAAACCAGGATTAGTCACATATTTATATTGATGGCTTCTTAAATTTTGACCTAAAAACCAGTGACTATAATGAAAACATCATATTATTACATGTATTTTACTGAAATATTATGCTACAGACACGTAAACAAGATGCCCCATCCTAGAACTCTACACTTATGTACTTATACTTATCAAAGTTGTGCACCAGCTAGAAAGCTATAGTTACCATGTTCAAATTGATTTGCATTATTACTCAGCTGGTAATCAAACATGGAACCTCTTTTATATGAGATAGCCACAATACCATTTGGCCACTACTAATTATTGGAATAAAATATAAAACTCAAATTATTGGTAATTAAAATCATTTTACTAGAGACAAGTTCAAAAAAGATACAAGCTTATTTTGAAGTGTATAAAACTTATTATTTGCTGTCTATAATTGCAAAACTATCGTTAAATTTTGAAAAAGAATCATTCCAAAATACCTGTCAATAATGAATATGGCTGTATATTATCCTAAAAACAAATGGTGCATGCATAAAATTATTGCAACAGTTAAAATCTTACTACACATGTAGCAGCTTAATGTTTTGTTCTGGAACTTCAGATTCTGTTTACATATGTGTTAATATCAAACAGATATAAAACTGTTATAAATCATTCGAAAATCGATCACAACATTACGGAAACATTAGATATAGCTTTATACCCTTTAAAATCAATCAAAAATAAATAATGATTCAACTAATATATAGAAATTCCTACCATCTTTTTGACCTTTGTGAGTAAGCAATCTGTGCCGAGACATTTCCATTATGGTCATGATTTCCTGCGACCAAATACCAGGGATTTTGTAGCTGATCATAGTTGTACACTTTTTCAAATGTGTTCTGTAATCATAGAGAATAAACATTAGCATATTATAGAATTCTTACCCTGATAAATTTGTTATGTATAATATTGGACGTGTCCTGCTTTGAAAATTAGAATAGTCCATTTGAGTTGGAGGGATTTAAATATAAAAATTGAGAAGCCAATGGGCCTGGTTAGGATGGCACATTCATGCTTTACTATTGGGTAGAGGAAAGTCATCACTGCTGCATGCTGTAAAGTCTAAATTAATTCTCTCTGTATTCATTAATTAAAAATGTTTTAAAAATGAATGTTAATTTTAATGAATTAATTTCATTGCTGTACATTAAAATATTAAAAATAAAGTATTAAGACATTTGTAACATTTGTGTCTCAAATAAGTCCACAAATAATGAAACATGCATATTTTAATGATTACCAACTTAAAGGCCCAACTGCACTATAAAAGCCTGCAGATGGCGCTAGGGCAGGTTTCTTATTAATTTTATGCATGCTTCACTTCAGGGACCCTTTTTCAAAGATTTAAGATTAATTACCAAATGCATTTAAACAACACTTGGCATGTATGTAGGCATATATATTCTTGATATAGATTGACCAAAATTATTCAAAATAAAACTTTGTTAAGTGTGTTTCTGGAAAAAAATACTGGCTGTCAAATTTGAAATTTGAATTTCCCTGGGAGGAGCCAACTGATCATTACAGGTCATGAACCTTCAGTAGTAAACAGAAACACGTGGCAGTGTTTATTTCAGTGAGAGAGATTTGTAGCAGACGATATATATTTCAGGGAGGGAGATTTTCAGCAGACGACACATTGGAATGCTGAATACATGATAAGAAAAAAAACAATACCTTTTACTGATCTTACTTTATCAATAAGTATTTATATCCAACAAATTTACAATAATCCATTAATCTATGATTTTTTTTAATTTCAAAGTACTGATTCAACTTGTATTTAAATGGTTTAAACTTCATGAAAACAGTAAAAGTAACTTCCAGGTATATTTCATTTACTCTATATTTTGTTGTAAATATCTTGAAGTCAAAATTACATTTCACAAATGTTTATCAAACTAAATGTTGCATTTGTATAAAATTTTTATATATTAATAGTTTAAAAATATTTTAAATTCCTGTCAAGATCATTTTTAGCAGGTTTTCTTAAAAGAAATGTCCCATGTAAGGCACATCCTTTGGATTTGGATATAGTTGTCTGACTTGATGCAGGACACAGTCAGGCATAATTTCCCTTACAGTTAGTTCAACATGTGCTGCACGCATAAGTCTCTCCTTTCTTTCTAGATATACACTATTGCTCCAAAGTCCCCTTCTGTCGAGCATAGTCCAGTATTTTCTATAAAGTTTTTTTCTTATTAAGTTATTTCCTGGTCTTGCTAAGCGACCATCTCCTAACCAGGCCTGAGGACTTGCAGTCACACAGGGGGAACTAAGACAGTGGTGACAAACATCTGTATTACGGGTAGCCAGTTCAGATGATCCATTTTGTTGATCTGTTGACATGTTTGCATTCTCTTCAGAAATTTCTTTTTCGAAAACATCTGAGTTTACTGACTTAGTCTCAGTGGATGTTCTGCTCAAATTTTGATACTGGGTACTTGTTGCTTCAGTATCGTCATCACTTGATATTTCAATATCCCACCCATGAAAATTGAATATTCCACAAGTAATTTCTTTCTGTTCTTCTGTCATATAAATCACATATCTCTTTTTCTTATTATCCTGTGCCATTTTTTTAGAATTCAAATTTGTACGAAATATATAAAATCAGATTATAACAGCTTAAAGATTTGCACTATTTCCCTCCAAAACAAGCATCCTATGTGAATTTTAATTCTACATGGCAGGCCATACAATGAACAATTATACTTCATTGTGACAGCATCTTAATTAGGTGTTGGCAGATTAAAATGTTTCCCAGCAGAGTTTACAGTTAAAACAATGTGAAGCTGATATCATTTTCATTTGTGTGAATTCATTAGTAAAGTCAGGTATACAATATAGTGATAAACATGGATGATAACCATAATCAACAAGTTGAAGATCATAATAATGGAATAAAAAGAATACGCTTGGAATTACGTAAGGAGCCAAAAGCCTATCCATCAAATTCTGGTGAAAAAAAGACGTGCAAGAAATAAAGAAAATAGACAAATAAATAGAAAATCAAGAGGCAAATTGGAGTACTATTACAATGATGAGTCAGAAAAAACTGAATTGTTTAACAAAATTGACAAAATAAAATTGTTTCTTGGTGGAGGACAGTTTAATAAAAATATCGACGTTTGAGCTACTCCACAGGCTTTGTGATTTTTTTACTTCTCTGAATCTACCCGTTGAAGATAATGTGACAAATGAAAGTTTAGACTTTGAGCCAGAATATCAATATTGCACCTTGGAAGATGCAAAAACGGAAGACATTTTTATAGGATGTTTATCATCAGTTCAAAAACTTATAACACAAGTACAAGCCCATGATATAAAATGCAAGGAAAGATTAAGTCTTGATAAATCAAACAACAAAAAAATGCATGGGGTAATGACTGCCAATATCAAATGTAAGGAGTCCCATGCCTTGAGCTGGATGTCCTCTCCACACATGGGAAACGGAACGTTTTTAGCAAGTTACAAATTTTGTCATGGTTATTTTTCCAGCGGCATACTACCTAACCAATTTCAAAAACTGTGTGAAGCTTCAGATATTGCAGATTTTGGGGAAAAATATATTTCTGAAATGATGGAGACTTACAAAGGAGCTGTAGAGAATGAAGTCTTAGAATCTAAAAACAATGCTCTTCAAGATGAAATTGCCATGACCACTGCACTTTTGCATGATGATGAAGTACTGACAGGAATAAATATTGTTACGGATGCACGCTATTGTTGGCGCAAAAATGCAAAGTTCACTGATGTCGTCTGCCTGGGTAAAGCAACAAACAAGTGCATTCAAGTTGAGACAGTCACCAAGTCTGATGATCCCAGCTCTCAACGGCATGAACTTGTAGGAGTACGACGCTTATATGATTATCTTGACCAGAAGGACTGCCCAGTAAACATCCATGCACATGACAACAACAACCAAATAACTAAATATGTCAGAGAAGAAAGAAGCCCAACAACGAATGCAAGTGATACTTGGCATATGACCAAGGGCATAGCTAAAGCTGCAAGAAAAATAACAACAGGCTTCAAATCAACACATGGAGTTGTGTGGCATGAGGAACTGTCTGACAAAGCTGCTGCATTAAAAACTCACACATTCCATTCAATGAAAAACTGCCAAAATAATCCCGAAATTCTACGAAAAAAACATACTTAACTTTGTTGACCACTACAAGGGCAGTCACGACAATTGTCTACCAACTTCTCGATGCAAAACAGATCCACATTATGAATGTTTCCAAATACACCATCAAAGATGAAAAAGCTGTTTCTATTCTTACAAATTTTTTTAAAATCAATTGCCAGTATACAAAGATGCAGAAAAATATAGATACTGTATGGACACTCACTACGTAGAATCATTTAATAATGCATTATTACAGTATGGAGACAAAAGAATATGTTTTGGATTAGATGCCTACAAAATCAGGATTAACTTGGCTGTCCTTGACTGGAATGAAAATGTGAATCGCCCTCAAACATCAGAAAGGCAGATTCCATATAAAAGAGATCCTTCAAGAACATACAGCATTCCAGTGAAAAAAAGAAAAACAACTGACTTCAAAAATAATATCTGGACAAGATGGCTTGATAATGTCTTTTAATTAATCTGATTAATCTGTGAGTTATATAAAACATCCATTAAACCTCTCCTGTGTAAAATCAGCTGTTTTTGTTTACATTCTCTCTGCAGGTTAACACTGCATGCTATTTTTAGCTCAGGGTTTATAACAGACAGTTTTACATCACTGATTAGTCACACCCACAAATACTCGCTGCCGCGGCAGCGAATGTTGCCCCTTTAATCAAGTGATGTTCACAATTTTGCATGGTAGCCTATCTGAATACAAATCTAAATAGCTACAATGTTAAGTATTTTTCAATAACATTGCACATCAATTATCTACAAATACTTGCACTATAGAAGTGGGTGGAAATTCAATATTTAGAACACTAACAAATAGACCAGGATATTTACATTTCAAAATGATATGTAACAATAAGCTATCACAGTACAAATGTACATCCACATCACTTTCATATGACAAATCTCAATTGCACAGATAAATTCAATTCCCCAGATTCACTATCTGATAAATAGTTTGAAATTTGTAAACCAGTCACTGTTTGATATTTAACAAATTGTTTATGAATATATTGTTGTTGTTTTTTTGTTCAGATAAATGTTTGTTAGGTTATCATGTACAGATTTTAACAAAAGAAGCACTGTTAACATCATTATTGTGACATGGGGGCTTTTCTGTTTTTGTAATTGGAGGGATACCAAAGATGTCTCTTTGTGTATTATTTTTGGTATCAAGAGGCTGTACTTAAACATTTGCCTCACATTTTGAGTTACTTAATAAGTTAATCTTTGAACAAAAAAAACCCCAAAAAACCCCATTGCTTAAAAATTAAAATGGTGCAACTGAAGCCGGCTATCTTCCTGCAATAATACTATCAAAATGATTCCATTACTTTTAGCTTCTATAAACTGATTCAATATTAAACTGATTTTATATCTTAAGGTTCTCTGGGTTGATTTTTAATTTGCAATGATAAAATCATAAGGGCACTTCCCAGCTTTACTGCCCCAGAAGCCTATCAAGCATTATTCAAGACAAAAGTTGGCACTGAAGTAAAACCACCAACCTTCTGTAAATATGGAAAACTTTCTAAAGAGTAAGAAGTATACCTTAAACCTGTCATCATCTACATCTTTTACTCCATCGAAGTAGAAGTTATCTCCGAGAGCTAGATTGAAGCTTGTTTGGCACCTACTTGTAACATCTGCCATCTGTTTGGCAACAGCAACTTCAACAGGGGTGTCATATGGTGAAAAAGGCAGACCACCCCAATCACCCATTACCAGGAACCGCAGGCTGTCCAGTCCATAACAACCTGCCAATGTTAGTCAATATAATATATACTAAAACAGGTGTTTCAAGAGTAACCATTACTAAGTAGTTGAAAATGAACATATGAGAATGCAATTTTTGCTGGAGATACATCTTAGGAATTGCCAGAAATGCAAGAAATGTATTACAATTATATGATTTATGTTATGTTTGACATCAATTTTAACATTTTAACAACTGTTACATCAAAATACTAAAAATTAAAATATATGGGATATAGGTTCAACAAAAATAATTATGTTTACTATATAAATATCCATTCAATATACCATATAATTTTAACACTTTATAAAGGACTTTATCATTTATTATTAATCTACATGTATTTAATATAATTTATTACAAACTATATGTAATTACTGTACCTTTTTGAAATTTCGAACTACATAAATAATATAGACCTACTTGGTCCTTACAAATCTTAAGAACTAAAAAGGTTTTAATAATATACATAGTGGAGACTTTCATGTTTTCTTGGTAACTTACTTTAAATAACTCTAAAGTGTTTAACTTATAAATAAGCAAAAGTATTATAACTATTACATTATTTTTTAGACATAGTTCTAATTAATATGTTGATTTTATTATCAATTAGGGTAACCCTTTACTATCTGTAAGATAAAACATGTTAAAGTGTAACTGTATCAAAATGATACTGAAAGATTAAGTATCTTTCACAAACATACTTGATTACGTGACCAACTGCAATGTTTACATGTAGAGTACCTATTAGTAAACAGTATGACAAGATAAATTATACAAGCTAAACCCAGTGCTGAAGTCCTTGGAAAAACATAGCATTGGGACTAAAATCTCTATAAATAAAAAATATTCATAATGATATTTTTTAACAAGGTTTAACACTGTTTAATTATGTCCCAGTTTCCTGACAACTTGTGCAATAGTATTTGTTTAGTGTTTAAAAGTGCTCACACAGTGCATGGCAAATTAGATTTTTTTATAAAATGTAAATACAATATACATTAGGCATAGTCATTATATTACTATGTCTATAACATGCATCAACTATTTGTATAATTTGCCGTTAAAATTATAGGGCATACAATAACAGCAGAAAGTCTACCCGATATATTTAATTTTTGAAAATATAAAGCTCGTTTATTTTGGGAAATTCATGGAATCTTAGACTTTCACCTGAAGGTTTTTTTTCAAACATTACTGCAGTATTAAATCGAAAAGAAAATAATGTACCTGTGTACAACAGAATCGTAAATTACATTCACAAACACGATTCGACCAATAATTTATAACATGTGATCTTTTTTTAAAAAAGTGATTCAATGCATGAAGGTTGAAACACATAAATTACTAAAATTCATGCGTATTTTTACAGAATCGTAATGCACCATTTTCAACCAGTATTCTTAGCCAAAATTTAAATCTGTTAATTTAGTCCATGTAAAATTGGCAACAGTGTTTGTTCAGTTTCAAGTAACACAATCTTTTTGGCATTTATAGACATTTTTCAAAGTAATATAAAACAGGCCTACTGCAAAAAATCCACAGTCTGTCAATTGAGTACCAAATATTTTCATATGTGAAACGATAAATCAGTTCATGGCCCCTTTAATCAGTAAAATGTCTATGTATTTTTAAAGATAACTCCTTGCCTGATTTAAACGGCAGTTTTAGTTCTTATCTTCTAAATTTGAAAATGCATATCATCTGCATGCAGCTTACTTTAAATAAAATGGGAAACTAAAATCTGGATCACAAGATTCAGCTTCCGATATTTTTTTTTTTCATGCGCATTGGTCATATTTTTCAAATCACTCGATCTTGCTATAACAAATACAAAAACTCCAAGCTGACCTTCCAAGGATTAACTTTATTAAACTTTATTGAATTTATCTTTCTGCTTTTGATTGTGTTGGGTCTCTATTAATTGCTATCTCTAGATCAGACATGTAGCACCTATATAATATAGGTCAATGTGTTCAATTAAAAACAAATATTTCTTTTTTACACTTTATTTTTCAAGTAAAACATTAAACTTAATTAAAAATTAACAACATCTTAAAATAGAAAATTTGAAATTGTTATAGTTTATACAACACATGAGAAAAATGTCAGATCATCAATATTTACAAATCTCAATCCATTCAGAACGACATCAAGTTACTTTAACACATTTCATCATACATAATCATAACCCGAGTTTATACTTACTGGTTTCAGTAACATAGTAAGATTGTGTTAGTATTTTATATATACACTGTCCAAATCAACTTTGTGTCTATTTCATAAATGAAATACAGAAAACATTCACTAATAAAAACTACTCAATCACAAATTGTTTAAAAAAATACAAACATTCTTACAACATATTTATGCAGAGTAAAATTTACTAATGTAACCAAGCTAAAGTCTAAAATACATATATCACAGTTGCAAAATCACATTTCAATGGTAAATGTTTTAATCAAACTTCTAAAAAGGTGATAACAATAAATAACTCTGCTAAATAAAGGAATTGTATACATTGCAAAAAAAATTATTTACAAAGCTAACAAATGTAAAGTTACTTTTTTATAAGTTTGGTATACTTCACTGTCTCAACATATATTTGAGATAGCATATAATTCTGCAAGAAATCTTCATTCAAAACTCATAACGAAGGTGAGAATTATTTCTGTGTCAGTGCTTTTATAAGATACTTTATACCTTTAACCTGTAGCAATCTGTTTTAGAATTATCCATTAAAGTTGTTGCATTCCTTAAATAGATATGTATAGCGTCCATTTTTAGGACTGTCTAATATACATTTGGGGAATTCATGATGAAAATTTGAAATTTAGAACATTATAGCCAGATTGCACATTGATTGGAGGAAAAGACTTTTTCATTTTTTGTTCCAGCATTCTATGGGTAAATTTTGTTTGGTGGTTGTTGCACAATTTTAATTCTCCTTTTCTTCTTGTTATGTGCTATTATCTTTTCATAAATACAAATGTAATAAGATCATGGTGACAAAAACAAAATATTGGAAATCAATCAGGTAAAAATAAATATGCTTACATGAAAATCTAATTTTTCTTCATGAAAAGCAAAAAAATTTAATTTGCTAAAGATAATTTTATCCATGATACTATCTCAAAAGCATTCAACTAACAATTTTATCATGTTACTGGATTTAAAACATTTGTTGAAGTTTCATCTTTACATCCATATACTGTTGCCTTTGCTGAAAAACAAATAAAATTAATAAAATTTAAGATTCCCGTTATCTAAAATTTTGATTTCAGGTTAAAAAAAATTTACAAATACCAATTGAATCTATTTAGGAATTATGACCCATTTAGTCTGCTGATTTAACTTTATAAAACATTGTTTTGCTGGTTTGAAAATACAACTTTGACCTACTGATTCATATATAAACTTTCTATACAACTTTATTCTGCCTAATCAAATATAATTCCCCAATACCTGCTCCCCAGAGCACCCCCTACCTCCAATAATAATAATTTGTTCTGTGCAGATCATACCGTTTCTGCCACTAATTTCTTTTGCAAAGCTGCCATATCCTTCTTCATCTGCTCTTGGAAGTTTTTCTGTTGGAAAAAAAAAATTAAAATTCATCTAAGAATTATTTTTGGTATCAGTTTATAGGTATATGTATCACAAGTGGCGAAACTAAACAAGAGCATCACATTCTTGTCTGCTAAGGGAAACAACTAAAAAATTTAAATACAAGAGTGTTCTGGCTGTTATGCACTTCACTCCACAATAAGATGAATAACTTTTTGATTGGGACTGTTCAGTATATTGGTATTTAAACAAAAGTATAATCATTTTCCATGTAAAAAGTGGCATAACTCTAGGAAAAATGCTCAGTTAATTATGTCCCTAAGTCATACAGATGTACCTTGTCCTCATTAGCAAGAATGCTGTGGATAAGTATATCTTAGTTCTTAAAATTTTCTATTAATAACAAACAAAAACCAAAGTAAAAGAGCGACATAACTACAAAAATATTTTATTCAGGACAATACCCCTTGTCTTAAATCTGCACCTTGTCATTACGGTCAAGTTTCATGTTGATACCTTTGAAAAGGCATGATTATTGAACAGTATTAAAGATTTTGTTCAAAAACAACTTCAGCAACTAAGTGATCATAATAACTTTTAAAAAAAAAGAAGACAAACTAAAAATAAAGTGGCATAGTAGCATAATCAGCTTCGGGATATTTCTCATAGGAATTCATTCTCAGAGGAACTACAGCCAACTTGCAAAAGGTTGGGGATTCAACATATTTGAGATGTATCAAGTTTAGTGGAGATCTTTTTAGCTGGGATTCAAGATAATTTTTAGTAAAAACTTCAATAATGAGAATTATAAAAAAAATAAAAGCTTATAATATAAGATTACATGTACTTACATGTGCATTGTAATTATACTTGTTCACTTTCTTGGATTTGTCCAGGAAGCAAGAATGCAGCTTCTTCATATTGTTCAGTCTTAATCAAAAACATATACACGACAGTGACATATTAGATATTTATTACCTCTACAATATAATATACTGTATAATAACTTCTCTGCTAAAAATGTTTCCATCTTTGATGCTTTAGATGACTTGTGGCTCTTTAAGATTAAGATCAAAAAATCTTAAATAAATTCTACAAAACCAGAAAGATAAATTGATGAAAATTTTTATTCATTTTTCAGAAGTGACTAAAGAACAGAAAAATTAGAACTAAACTCATATCATTAAGTTTTCTATTAAATTTAAACCCTTGAACGATTTTACCTTTTAATCTGTGATTCCTCATTACATATGAGTGTATCAAACTGTGACTTGAAATATTCCTAAAAGAATAATTAAGAAAAATACTAATATGTTATCAACATGATTTCAAAACATATATTAATCCATAACTGCTGTAACTTAAAGTATAGAACTCGCTTTAAGCCTGCATATTGTGACTAGTCTGACCAGACACAATATAATACTGTTGGTAACTCAATTTTTATATTGTGTTACTAAAATCTCTTTCAATGAACTGTTCCAAACTAAAGATATCCATGACAGTTCATTAAGGATATTCAGCTGAATGAATAATATAAGCTTGACATTTTTATGTGATAAAAAGTGATCTATGATGTACATGTAAGTCTAAATACTGGTCTGTTGATATACATACATATATTAATTATTTACTTTGTTTACCATGAATGTGAAATTCAAATACACAGGTACTGAAGATTTCATTGATATGTTAATTTGGAGATCAAAAATATTATGACAAATACAATTTTGTATGCTGTGCAGCCAAATCAATTCAACTACAATTATCTGCTTCAAAAATCTGGTCGATTTTTATATCTATTTCTTAAAATATAAGAAATACCTCCATTTTCTTTTCTGCATCACTAAGTCGTTCAATATCATTCTCAAGAGCTGTCAATTCTAGTAACATTTTAGCGCTGAAGTCATCTGTGATATTAGACCTGAAAATACTCCTATATATAACAATGATGGCCATGAAAATTTACACAAGAAAAATTTATGATAATATGCATATTTGTAAGTTTAATTGAAACTAATCTGAATCTATCAAAGATTGTTCTGTTTTTACTGGTAAAAGGTACTTTATAATACTGCAGGCTTGTAATGTTGCTTTTCACTGGATAACCGTGGCGTTATATGGTTTTATATGCATGGCTGCTATCAAATTATGAAGAAATCTTACTTTTTTCTGTAAAAAATGAAGTTTCCAGTATCATAAATTCATAACATAAATATTCCTGACAGGCAATATGACCGTATATAAATGGTTGTTAGCAATATAACCTTATCCTGGCAGCTCGGGTTATATTTACAAACAACCTTTAATATAGGGTCATATAACCTGTCAATAATCTTTATAACTAATAATATATTGGTATGGTCATTATCAGTGAACAGTCATTTAAACTGAATTCTTTCTACTTACAAGTATTGCTGTTGCTCTACTAATGTATGGTGAAAATGTTTTTGTGTTTCCTTTAAAGTTTCCTTTGTGAATCTTTCAATCTTTTGTTTTTTATCCTGTAAATGAAAATGTCTATAATAATGATTGTTTATAGTATACATGATATATATGATTTATTGCACGTTATATTTCCATCTTGGACAAGTATGTCACAGCCACTTCAATTGTATATGATTACCAATCAGGAAGTCTTTTTACAAAGCTAGTTACAAGTACCTTATCTTAACAAAGTTAGTGACACAAAAACTGTCACATAGTAAAACATTTTTACATGATTCTGGAAACATGGCAAGCTTTTTCCTGAAGAACATAACATTTGTTATAACAAGTATTGTATCATACTTTTCTTTATAATAAGGAATACAAAAAAAACTTGCCCTAAGGTACTCAACAATCTCACAGATAGGAAGTGGACAAACTTAACTACTTAACTTGTGTTATTAGACACTTAAATTTAATCTATAATAACAAAAACATAAAAGGGTCATAACTCATGTGTTTCTTATCAATACAATGGACAATATCCTGTATAATAATCATCATTGCCTTCATAAAAATATTCCAGACACCAGTAAAAAAAAATCCCTCTGATTTCAGTGGGGGTATTAAACCTTTACTAGGATAAATATCTAAAACAGACTTGTCTATCATTAAATCTGGACAAAACCATTTATCATTTTTAGGGAATATTTCAAAATATGTATTGACTGAAAAGTCAACAGTTCAAACAATGATTTGGTTTTCAATGGTCTCAAGTGTAGAATCTGGGGCCTCCATTTGGCTAAGGGCTTATAAGGTCTGCTACTAGGTAAGAATTATAAAACAGCTAAACTTTTTCATTGATCATGTTTTACCCTTAAATGATGTTGTATATCAGTTCCAAATGCTGCCATAACAGTAGACAGTCCTGACTGGAAACCAAAGTCAATTTCAGTCTCCTCTGTGCCATCACTGTACAAACTAGGTGCTTGTGGAGTATTCACTGAAAAAAAGAATATGACTATAAGAATCTTACACTGGCTGCCGGTACAGACCGAATTTCTAGCTTGAGGGTCACTGTTAATGTTGGTAACGAGGCTCTGCCGAGTTTCCACTAAACAGAAACAGTTACCCGAGAGCTAGATATTCTGGTCTGTACCCATAGCCGGCGTTTGGTTCTTTTTTCTTGCATATTACATTTTAATTATTTTTAGAACAGAAATTACGAAAACTGATATTCTCATTGACACTTTTTTCTTGTAGTAGGGTATGAAGTTATAACTTCATTCATAACAGTAAAATGACGTCATCCTAAGAACGCAATTCATTCATAAAAGGCGCGCGTCAATGACGTCATTTAAAGCACGCGACTTGTCTTACATGGGGGTGTAAGACAGGGTTTTCGAGCACCGGTGTAAACGGTAGATAATCCTGTCTGATATGCAAGAATAACTCATCTTGACTAATGCACTGAGTACCTTTATATCATTCAGTTTTACTTGACTTTTCTAGATGATAAAAGATGACAACTTTCAATTAAAACTCAACTGAATTTTAAGCCTGCATCAGCTCATGAACAAAAGTTTTCAGAATATATACAGCCTCTTGCTTTAAAAATCATCCAGACAACTAAAACATTTTAAGCTTGAAATCAAATTTGCCTCGATTATTTGCAGGTAAGAAGCTACCTTTGCAAGCAAAGGAATGGAAAAAAATCATTCCAAATATGGTTTACATGACTAAATTGTATTTTTCATTGTACTGTAAGGACATGTACAGCATATCCTGCTCTAAAATTAATCTAATTAAAGTTAGAAAGATGGGTAGAAGAACTATAATAAAATTATAACAAGAGCTGACGGTAGGACAGCAACGCTAGACTATTCTTAGTGCTTGATAGTAAAAGAGCCTTGATAATGTAAAATTTTCTAAGTTTACAAAAGGGAATTTTTTTTCTTTAAATTCATGTTACAGTTATAGGCCTTGGAGAGAGTCCTATTACGCTCTCAAAGAAGAGTGTAATATTTCAACTTGTTTGAAAGCCAGATGTCAATAGAATATGAAAATATCGTGAGGTGGTATGCAAACTTGTACATAAATTCTAAGTCAAAAAAGGGGCATAATTCTGTCTAAATGCTTAATAAAGTTACCTCCTCCTATCTACAGGTTGGGGTCATGATGGTGAACAAGTGTGCAAAGTTTCAAAGCCATATGTTAATGGACTTTGAAAATATTTGAGGTATAACAAAAACTTTACTTAAATTCTAAGTCAAAAAAGGGGCATAATTCTGTCAAAATGCTTGATACAGTTACCTCCTCCTGTGTACAGGTTAGGGTCATGATGGTGAACAAGTGTGCAAAGTTTCAAAGCCATATGTCAATGGACTTTGAAAATATTTGAGGTATTACAAAAACTTTAACATAAGTGGTTACGCCGACCGACGCAGACGCTCGGGTGACTACAATAGCTCTACTTATTCTTATCGAATAGTCGAGCTAAAAAGTACCTGCTGGATCAAATTTGAATAATTTCTTTGGTACAAAGACTGACTTTTCCATCTCATCTTCTGATTCTACCTGGGAGCTGATTGAAGACTCCAAACTTCTATTCTCCTCTATATCTTAAATACAGTCAAGGTTTAAAGTAGGAATATAATCATCTGAACCCTTAATGGATTTGTTATGATTTGAATTTCCAAGTCTTGTTCATGAATTTAATGTAATAATTAAACTGAGAAGCCAATGGCAAAGGGTCTAATCTGACTGCACAAATAACAACCTGTCCTGGCTCTATGTTTCTGACCTAATGTTTTACCTATTACAGGACAACATGGTTCGTATAAATTGGAAAAAAAATTAAAAGAGATGTTAAAAAACATTTTTAAAGGTGTCATAAAATACCATCCTTTCTTACCTACTTGTGGCAAATGACTTCAGAAAAATGTTAGGATGAAATTTCATATTGCAAGCATTTAAAATGCTATCTGTCTCATTAGCTCCGAACATTATAAATTTCATGTACTTATGAATATGTCAAATACATTTGCCATTTCATTACATGTTCTTGAAAAAATATTGCCAGTTAAACCTGTCCAACAGTTATATCATAGTTGACATATTCTGCATATACATGTATAATGATCGTAAAAGGTTAAAAGTTCAATAAAATTTTGTGAAGGATATTGAAAATCTTCTCTTTAAACTTGATCTTGTAGGTCGCATTTCAGATGATGGACCTATAATAAATAAACAATTAACATTATTAAAAACTTCATTAGTGTTACCACTCAACTGGTTCAATGGTAGATAATTTACAGTCTTTTTTTAACTAAAGCACAGGGTACACAAATTTATTTAATAAGATCTTAAAAAGTTTCATGAAAATCTATTTTAAAATTTCTTAATTTCGCTATATAATTTTTCATCTTAAAATGATCACCTGAGGTAAAGCCACTTTCAGCAAGGAGTTTCATATTTTGCTGTAAAAGTTTCTCTTTAAATCTGTCTTCATCATCAGCACTCTCATCACTCTGTAATAAAAATATATACATTTAAATACACACATGATGAAATGTTCACTTTTTATTTCTATTTCTTAATAATAATTTCATTCTTGTATCAAGCTTCTACACAAAATTTAAAGTTTCTGATGAGAATAATATTGTTTTTAACCTAAAATAACAACTTGATACAGATAAAAGGCATTTGTACATAGGGCATAACAATACACTTAAAATATTTGTTTTCAGGGCAATAAAGTTTTTCCTCAAATCAGGCTAAGAATCAAACAAGAAAAACGATATTCAATGTAATTCTGTGAATATTTCTCTATAATCCTTTGCAGATTTTCATCTTTAAGAGCTCAGTACATGATCTGTCTAAGAATTTCAAATTTTATGTTTTTAGGCTTTTTGACCTCAAAGCAAAATATGACAAAATGTTATTTTTCTTTGAATGAAAGACATCATACGTGATTTAGTCCCTCATAGGATTTCAGACTCACAACTGCTTGGGATTCCATATCTTCTGAGCTATCACATTCTTCCTCGCTGTTTGGACCACTCTAAAAATAAACATTATCTGTCTATCAACGGTGTATAAATGCTGCACTTTAATTCTATAATATAAAAGTTGGCCTACAATAACACAGTGTTACTGTAAGCTCTACTTTTAACCTTATAATCATATATGAAATAGGTTGCTTTCAAATGAATGTTCTCATGGCATAAACCATTATGTTACACAGTTTCTTACTTGAACGCTACCGGTAATTATTTGGTTGGGTTTTAAGCCACACCAAGAACTGATATGGTCATATGGTCACTTTTCAACTGGTGAGAAAATTATCCAAAGGTCCTGGTAGGATTCAAACCCACAGTGCTGAATGGCAAGTCAACCGCTTTTGTCTCTAGGCTATTGACACCCTATATTTTACTTAAAGGGTAATTTGAATAATAAAAAAAAAAGTAATTGCAATTGTCATAAACACACCTTAACTTGCTACATCAAATTAGAACATTTAACACTACATTTTAACATTATAAATTTGCTACAAATGTTTAAAAGTTTGTCTGGTAATCTGTAATTAATATCTTCTTAATAGACCATTTGAAATAGATTACAATTTCATTCCTAACAAATTAATTTAGTGGAGTTTTAAAGTCACCAAAAACATATGGCTGTTTTCCAGCTTAACTGCTAACGAAGGCTTTATGTGCTCATCCATGGTATGTTTCAGGCATGAGTAGGCTCCTCATTAAAACCAACCTTCTGTCAACTAACTGGATAGGGTACTGACACTGGCAAGATTTTAAACCACAACTGTGAAGGGTGGGTGGTTCCAAATCAGCAACTTTAACTACTCAATATGAAATACTGAAATATGTAGAAAACTTACCATATTGAGTGAAATTGAGCAGTTTTCCTGTATTTGTTCAACATCAATATCATCTTCTGAAATATGTGTCACAGGTTATTACATAACAACATTTTGATTGAAAAACATTCAAAACTTAAACCAGGTATAACAGTATTACAATTTCTCTTAAACAAATCAAAAAGACAATTCAAAGAATACTGTCACAAAATTCATTCAAATGACTGTCAGAAATATTATAAACTCATTGTTCACAAGTATTGTGTTGAATAATTAAATTAAGTTCATTACATACTATATTTATTTCCTTTTTTGTTTCTTTTCCTTGGTGACGATGGAGTTGGTATACTGTCATTTATATCTTCTAAACTTTTTAATGACTTCATACTTGGGGTAAGTATTGGCGTTTTTAATGATAAGCTAGGAATTGTCAATGGGGTGCCCATTTGCTGTAAATATTCCTTCATCATGTGCAATTTGTCCTCAAGTAAGCTGCCATCCTGTAGATGATAAAATTTTATTAAACATGAATTTTAAAGTAAAACCCAATTTTCTGTTTGACAGAGCTGTTTATGTTTGCATTTTTATAAACAAATATATGATGTTATATCTAAGTAAGGTATACACTTAATGAATAGATCATTAATTTATTTCAAATGCAATAAAAGAACAAATTTGACGATTAAATGACAATCTCTCGGAAACAGCAAGAATGCTAAAACAACAGTATCATAATTAAAGTCAAGAATTAACAATAGATAAAAGAAGCTAAAAAATGAGAGAGAAAATTGAGCTGATAAGTATTTTACCTACCAGAATAAATGGAAATATAGAATGTATTGAGAGTAAAATATCTAAATACTATATATATGATTTGAAATACCCCACTCAATGAGAACAGGCTCTATAATGTAGACTGACCAAATCCATTTAAGAGATTCAACAGGTTAATGATTAAAAAACTTACTTCTTTCATCAATCCATCTTGTTCATCATCAGAGTTATCTTCACTGGCTATACTATCATCAATGTCCTGATAATATCTGTTCTTGTTCTTCTTACTAGCTTTGTAAGTCTTTGAAGATTTTTTCAGTTTTGGTGTTTTCTTACGTTCTAATATCCAACTTTTCTCACTTAAGAAATAATTTACATTAAAAGTTTAATTACCAAAGAAAGCATTTTATTTTATAAAATACATGAAATACATTCTTATAGATTATTTCTTCTGACTAAATGAGTTAAACAAAGCATGATACATATTGATGATAAAGGATATAAGTACATGGATATCCATTTAAAAATGTAATGTTTTTCAAAGCACTAAAAAAATGACATTCATTACAATATACACAATGATGTATACATTTTATTGATCAAATCATGGCTCTAAAAAATCACTTAATCCTGTTACTTTTGTGTTCATTCTAATTTAAGTAAGACCTTAACATTAACTTCAAGTCAGTGATTTTTTTTAATGTAATTATTACCTCCTGTTATATATGTTTTGACTGCTATCTAATAGACTTACAGATTCTGTGCTCTACAAAAACAATGTATAAGATAAATACAATGACAAAATACATTCTTTTCTCCTCTTAATCTTTTGTTTCCACTGTTAAATAATTCTAAAATGGATTTGCATAAGCAATTTAAAAAAAAAATTCAATCTAACTATAAGTTTAACCAGACAGGCTTATTTGGTTAAAATGTACTTTCAGTTCTTTTCATCTACAGCTTTTATTTTCAAAATTTAAATAAATTTCTAAAGTAACCAAATCAATACTGTGAAGAAAAACAAGCACCTTAACATGTTTACAACTGCTTTATGAATAACACATTTTTTAAATGTACTAAAATTTGGCAATATAAATTCTATCATATATCTTTTAGTTTACTTCCTTCAGGAATTAGTATCTACTAACCCTAAATAATAAAGAAATCTAAGATAACAGTAGACTTCTACTATTTTGTAAATTGTACAATATTTGAAACCAAAATAAAAGATCTTACCATTCTGGATCTACACTCACTCTTTTCATCTTCACTTTCACTAGAAATTGAAACAGTTACTTAACTTAATAAGGTATTGAAAGTCTTTTGTGTATCTTTTATAATGAAGGTATTATCATTTCTATCACCTAGACTGCATGATTAACTATTTCCAGAGTCTAATACCTTGATTTCAGTAAAAAGATTATTAAAGTCATGATTTGATCTTAGTCAACCTACACTTCGACCCTGCAGACATGTATGAATTAAGTCTGATGTGAAAAAGACTTTGGTTAATAAATTATGTTGGCAACCTTCCACACATGTTTGGCCAAAGCTACTGTTATTCGCACACAAAGCAAAAAATGGTTCCATTTATACTTTCAATAGTCAAGCTAAAGAAAACATGTATGTAAATGACTAGAATGAAAGTTAAAAATAAAATAATGTTGTTAACCTTGAGTGGGAAAAGATATTTAACAGTTTATTAATTCATATAGCCTGGTTACTCCTCATCAAATGATGTAAGAAAATAATATTATACCTCTCTGAAACCTCCTTATATTTAACAGTCTTTTTCTTTCTGGATTTTCTCTTAATCTGTAAATAGTGCAATATGGCATTACCATTATTGCTACTTAAACCATGTGTTTTTTATAACTAAACATCACATTTACCAAATCAAGTTTTGATAAAGTGATGTCCTTTAGGAAACACACTGAAATTCATACACTTTTAATTATTTTAATTAATCTGATACTGTTTTCATACATAAACATGCCAATTCTTATCTCTAGGACCAAGAACCAAATATCCTACAACAACTGACCACTGTTGATCTATGCAAATTAATCTAAATATTGAGATACAACAATCTAATTCTAATGGTCATAAACTGAATTTGACTTAACCTGAATTGTACCAAAACATTGAGAGTCCTATCTTTTATTTAATACAGGCAACCATACAGTGAAATTAGACAAAAAAGTTAAATCAGATTTATTCTTTATATGTTGAGAAGAAACACATTAATTAAGTTTAGGTTAAGCTTTGTTATTCAAATAATACCGGTTTGGACTTGGCTACATCGGAATCTTCATCATCCTCTGCAATAATAAAATAGTTTTGGAAAAATAATAAACATAATATTAAGCTTAAACATTTCAAATTCAAAGTGATACAAATATGCCTAACCTATAGCAAACTTCAGTTTAATCTTCACTAACATGATTTTTATTGCCACTGAGTTTGTCCACTGCATATCTCAATTTTGTTAATTGAACCATTTTGAGCACCAAATGTACTTTTCTTCAACTAATGAAACAATATTTTCAAATCAGATTTTGAGATAAGCAGTTAAAAACGAGCACAAACAATTACTGATTCAAAGAAATCTGATAAGTCTGGGGGATCTGGATTTCAATACTCGTATGTCAAATACTAATTATTAGGTAATATGTGACCTTAAATTTTCTAGTAGAGAAAGATGTTCCTCCATGCATTATTTTAGTCACTTACAAGAACCTGTGTAGAACTATAAATCTTTTGCAAGACAAATAGACAACTTCTACAAATAAAAGAATTCAAAGTCTTTCACTGGATATAAACAAACAGTATTGAAGGACAAGTCAACAATCTTAAACACTCAGCCATAAAGGCAATAGAATACTGACCAATTTTATTATCAGAAACAAGCAACAGTTTTATTGCTTTATCATTCTGTACTACCTGTGTCAGTGAGTTTACAGGACTGTGGTGTCTTAATCACACTAACATTTAGAGGATTGTACTGTTTTCTCTTGCCAGACCAAACTTTTGGTGTACATGAGATAGATTCAATGCATGGTGTCTGAAATATAGCAACAAATTATTCCTACAATTCACTTTCAACTTTTAAGCAAAATCTAATTAAGATAATTGTATACATAAAAAGTCATAGTTCAACATAGCAGTTTCTTAATTATATGTAGAAACGGAAAAAAAAACAAGAGTAAAGTGAATCATGATCTTTAATTGATCATTTGCTATCAGAGAGTTAGTAAAATGTCAAATTGCCAAGAATTTTATTAGTATACATGATTTTTTATTTTGCTTAGTTTCTTTCCCTATATTAGTTACTTACAGTGTCTCTTTTCTACCCAAAATGCAGATTAGATCAATATTTGATAAAACTAGAACTGCCACTGTCCCCGCATACTACCCCCGCATACTGCCCCGCATACTACTTTGTCAGAATCAACAGTGGCCATTTAGAGCTCAACCACAACCTCCCTGCCAAATCTGAAGTTACTAAGCCTGTGCATTGCTAAGTTATGTATTCTACATGCTTCAACTTCGTTGTATAAAGAAAATACTAGGTTCAACCCAGATACTTGTTGTAAAATTATATCTTACTCATTTTCAATTAAGAAGAGTGATAAATACTTTGTTACAAAAGAAAACAATCATTTCCAGTTAATTCCCTTGCACACATATTGTATAATGATCTTCAGGCAAATACTGACCTTGATATCTGCAATGTCATCATCCAGGTCTGCATTGATGGAAAAATTGAGATCTTTATCACATATCTGTCTCCTTGATGTGATTTCCTGAAAAGAACAAAAACAAATATTATTCTATAATGTCCGGCACAGCATAAGAAAGATTCAAAGACAGCAGAATTCAAAATCTTTTTTAAATGAGTGTGATTCAATTATTTTCAAACTTTGCTTAGGCAATTCTCAAACATAATACATCATTAACCATTTATGATAAAACAAAATGCCACTTAGTTACCTTTAGTATTTTACTGAATTGACTAATGTTTTGTTCCATCGATGAATCAATGATCATTGCTTCATCCTCACTAGGTAAGCTGGTCATCATACCTTTATTGAATGAATCAACAGAAGGAAACTCTCCTGTCACTCTTTCCTAAAATATTTGAATTAAACTTCAGAATTACAAGATAAGATAAATAAATACAGTTGACTCTCGGTAACTCGAAATCCAAGGGAAGAAACGGAATTTGAGTAACGTGGATCTGTCGCCATTACGTTGACATTCGTACATGTATATACGTTGACATTCGTACATGTATATACATGTGCCTGATTGAATGCGCAAAGAAATAGGTTTGTTATTGTTGATAGCGGCAATGCAGAAATATTTAACCATTAAAATGACGGTAAATCACTTACAACTACAATATATAAATGAACAAAATATATTATTCAAAATTCAATACCTGTAATAATTATTTATTACTAATTCAGCAGAATTCTAGCTAAAAAATTCTGATTATAATCTTTATCATAGGGAAAATATTAAAGTCCTCTATATTAATAAATGTTACATGTGTTAAAATGTGTATCTTTTTTCTATGACTAAACATTATCTCTTATTTAAGGATTAAATTTTTTTGAGCATTAATGAATTAGAATATAACCAAGGACTAACCTTTATAGCTTTGTTCCTCTTATTCTCTTTTCTGCTATTCTCTGCATACTCTTCAACATTGTCTTTATTTGTTCTGTACCATTTCTTTGTTTTCTTATCCTGAACTAGGTTAGTTTCCGCATGCTTATCATTTTGAAACTGGTCCTTTTCATGAGTAAGGTCTACCACCATTTCTTGGGAGCTATAATCTTGTAAGTTACTGCTATATGCTGGTATGTGATTAATACTGTTTTTATTCATGTTTAACCTTTCAGTTTTACTATCTTTCTTTTTCTTACTGCTTTCATGAGACTGATGTTTCTGCCTTCCTGAGGAATTCTTTTCACATTTTGAAACATTTCTATCATCAATTTCTTGAGAAAAACTTTCTTGAGAATCTAAGGATGAGTTCTCTATTTTTTCTACTTTTACTTTATGTTCTTTTGAGTTCGGCCTTTTCTTTTTATCAGGCTTTTTTTGTTTACTGCTGTTTAATTTATCCTTTCTGCCAACTTTCTCAGAAGCCATGGAAGCATTTTCACAATGTGCTTCAAAATCATAAGGATCATATGAGGGGGCTGTAGGAGGTTTCTCAGTATTCAAATTATTTCTATTCCAATAGTTTGTTTTGGACTTTAGGTATGACATTTGAAAAACCAAACTTTTTCCTTTTGCATTTGAAATAGTTTGAATGCTTTGTTGGGAAACAGCAAATGAATCATCACATTCCACTTTTTCAAAACTTTGTTCCATTGAAAATGTTGAATTCGTTTTCATTTTCTTTTCAGAATTTTTTCCTTCTTTACTAACTTTTGTTGCATTTTCTTTAGTTTTTACATAGGGTACAATTGCTTCTTGGAGTTCATGTATTTCTTCAACATTTTCTATTTCCATATTCAGTCCTTTATCAAACTGTTCACTTTCTTCCCTGAAATGTTCTCTTTCTGACAAGCTATTCTCATTATCAGTTAGCATCTTACTACAGCTATTATGCATCAAAACTTTACCTTTTTTGATATCTATAGTCTCAATATCAATCTTTCCATTTCTATTTTCTAGATCAAATTTACTTGAATATGACTTTTCATCAGGTTCTTTGTCTGCTTTTTTGGTGTTTGCAAATCCCTTTACTTGCTCATTAGACTTCTTGCCATCTTTCTTTGACTTTTCCCTACCTTTAGTAGTATTTTTATTACAAATGTTACCTAGTTCTTTTAAAACAGGCCTGGAAACATCAGAGTGTGCATTAAAAGCATGATTTTCAGTCTTTGCTTCTTCACTAGTATCATTTCTCCTTGGTTTCAAAGATGATCTCTTTTTTCGCTTTGATGTGTTCCAGCGACCATTTTCCATTTTATAACGCCTTGCATTATAACTGTCATCACTTTCAATGTACAGTGAGTCAGAAGAATCAGAGTAAGACATTGGTGAAGACACACATGGTATTAATTTACTTAAAGCATATTTATCATCTATCTCCATTGTTTCCTCCACAACCTCTTTCTTGCTTTTATTATTTCCTTTAATCAATTTATTTTTAGCTGAAGATTTTTTACTGTTTGCACTATATGATGCTCCTGAATTTATGTTTTCTTTGATTTCAGCTGTCTCATCATCTAATTCATGAGGATGATTTAGATGTTCTGTTTTAAATTTGTTATCTTCAACAACATCACTGAGTTTATGCTCACACTCTAAATTTTCATTTTGGGGCTTGTTATGCTGCTCATCAACTTGAGTGTCACTTTCTTGTGATTGTCTGTTAGGCAGGTTAAATGAAACTCTTGATTTTCTTTTATTTGTGTCTTTTTCAGGTTCTGAGGAGTTCTTATTCTTCTTGAGACTAGATTTTATTTTCTGTTCATTAACTGCTATTTTACTTGGACTATTTTCTGGTGTTTTCCTATCCATACTTTTTTCCTGTGTCTTCTCTGTGGAAGGGACTGTCATTTGTGATTTATGTTTACCTTGACTTCCAATGCTTTCACTACTGCTAGATGGTGAAGAAATTTCCTCAGGTCTTCTATTTTCAAGCCCTTTATTACTCTGATTGCCTCTTTTTCTCAATGACCTTCCTACTTTTTTATTATCAGATTTATTTTCATTGGCATCATTATCTGCTTTTTGTACCTTTTCTGTTCGTTTAGCTCTTCCCCTTTTTAAATCTCTTTGTTCAATCAGTTCACTTTTATCTTGTCTGTCCTTGTCTAGATTTTTGTTAAAATATTTCTTGCCTTCACCCTTCAATTCATCATAACATTTTTCATCTTTCCTCTGTTTGCATTGATCTTTGGCCTTGAATTTGTCAGTATCTTTACTCTTTATTTCATAGCACTCTTTTTCATTATCTCCTCCTTGTTTTGGTCTATCATGCTGCTTTCCAGTAGTAACATTGTTTTCATTTTCAACATGTTTAGAAATAACTGGCTCTTCCTGTTTACAAACAGCTTTCCTTTTTATGTTTGCTTCCTTTCTGTTGTCTTCACCACTTTTTGTTTTATATCTTTTATCTAAAACCTGCTTATCTGATGTTCTTTTTTTGTGAAAATATGGATCTGGATCAGAAAAGGCATACACATCACCATCATTATCACCTTCTTTAACCTCTTTTGACTTTGATCTTTCATTGTCACCCTGTATTTCCTCTTTTAATATATCTTCATTATTTTCCAAATCATGAAGTTCCTTCAATGATTCATCAATATCTGTAAAGCTTTTCTTCTTTGTCATCCCTTTCTTTTTTCCACTGCCCGTTTTTTCATCATCCTTTCCAACAGACCCCAAATGATCAATCTGAACTATATTTGTACCCTTCTTGCTTTTAGTTTTATTACGCTTTTTTCCATTAACAGAGGTGTTGGATTTTGATTTACACTCCATTTCTTCTTCTGTACAAGATTGTTTGTCTGAACAAATTGAATTTTCCAAACTGTCTGGAATACTGACAACAGGTTCATTAATACTGACAGCATGAAAACCAAAATTTGTATCCTTTCCATCAGTGGTACTTTCAATGACATTTTCCTTGTCTCCTTCAACTGAAGTATCCTCCTCAGTTACCTCATTTAATGGTGTGAATTTATCACGATTATCTTTCACATTCTTCAATTTGCCTTCTGCTTGTTGATTTTGAGCAGTCTTTCTGGACATTACCTTTTTAGAATTCTTCCTTGTTTCAATTTTCTCTCCAAAAATACTTGAAGATGCATCAACTTCATTAGTTTCCTTAATAAGACAAAACAGATCTATTTAGACAAAACTAACAAAATATAAGGTCATCATCTTACAGGATAACATAATACCTGTTTAACATGGATTACCAAATTTTGAGAAATCTTTAAAGTGATATACTATCATATAAGTGTATACACTAAATTGTTGTATAAAACAACTAGCAAATAATCATTTTTTAAATTTATGTACAAAGAGTTTTCTTCTGCATTTCTAGATGTATTTTTTTTCCAAATTAATTTTGCTTAAAACTGGTAAATTCAGAAATAAGTAACAAGACATAATCAATCTTTTTTTACTTCAGCTCTAGATGACTATAATGTACAATTGTATCAAAGGTTTACCTGGCTATTTTTAGAGATGTCTAATGCATCACAAACAATAGAAGATCTAGACTCATCTATACCAATACCACTATCATCTAAACTTTTCTCATTTGAAATACTGCAGAAAAACAACAATATTCATCCATAAATATATGATGCAAACATGATGACATCAAAAGAACTGAAAGTAAATGCATAATGCAACTAGGTCATAAAGTGTTTTCATTCTTTAACAATCTGGTGGAAGAGAACAACATTTCAAATACCTTTAAAACTTCTATATACTGATCAAGATAACAAACAAATGTGTTCCAAATAATCCTACCTTGCTTTGGACATACTAGCTTTTTCTGATTTACAAAGGTTGTCATTGAAAGGCAGTAAATCTGGTATGACCACTTCATGCTGCTTATTTTCCTTTGGTAATGTTTGGCTGCGAACTGAAAACCAATTGTTATGTATATAGGCTTTATTTTAAATGTGTTTAGTATCTGTTTCCTGAATAGCTCAGTAGGTAGAGCGCAGGACTGATAATCTCGATGTCGTGGGTTCGATACCTACTCATGCCACTATCATTTTTAATAATTTTATTTATTTGATGTTTATATAATTGTTCATGTTCATTCATCTTCTTTCAAGAAAGTTCTGTTCATGTTCATTCTGGAATATTCTTTCTCTAAGTAGTTTAGTATTCTAGATTGTTCATTGATAGTATATATATATATAATGATGAATGTTTGTACTTCGAGGTGTGTGCTAATTTGTGATATTGTGTGATATTGATAAACTGATTGTGTGCTATTTTACTTATGATATCAATATATTAGTTTGGATTCTGTAATTCTGTGTGTGAAGTGTTTTTGGACATATTGTATTTATTTTGCTGTGGACATTGATTAAACTTGAGTTGTGGACAACTGAATTTCGAACAGTGAGTCCAACTTGATTATAAAGAATTTATCTACGACTATATCTACTACTTGCTATTATTTGAAGAATAAATGAATCTAACAAAATCTATGACTTGTGTGAACCTTAAACATGACCAAAATAGTATGTTTTCTATGTGCAATATAAGAACATACCACTTTCCCCTTCAGCAACACTACATTGTGCAGACTGTTTTCTGGTCTTTCTTGATGGCGGTGTTACCGAAACAACAGGAGTCTTAACCTTCACCCTTGATCTGGTCTTCTTTACTGGTGTTTTAGGAACAGCAAAATCTACAGAAGGAGTTTTGTTTTAATAACATGGATCCTAATTTTATATTCAAATTGCATTATTATTACCTATCTTGATTTTTTTTGAAATGTGTGACATTAGACTGTGAAAGCACAAGAGCTGTCATTTATTTATCATTTCCTACAAGATGACCATATAAGATTTCACTTAAATGTTATTTCTGAAAATTATCTATTTTTCTGATCTGATGACAACTAGTTAAAAAGAAATGTCGAACGACACATATGCCCCCCCCCCGTTTCTAGCCCTTGACTCACATAATTGTTTATTTTGTCATAAATGGGTCAATGGAAGTGTTCAGTTATGGAAAAAAATAAAGTAATGAAGACTTTGTGATAGTTTTCAAGATAATGAGCGGAAACCATTCTGACATTTAACCCATTAGTTCATAAGCATTTTGTGAAAAATGGCTGTTTTCATTGAAAAGTCTCCCGTTACAAGTTCAAATTGCTATAAAACTATAAAAACTGCTTCAATACTAATCAAACTTGGCACAAATGTTGACTGGACCATTGCCTTTGTAACAACACGCTCAGGCTTAAATTTCCTGTTACCATGGCAATGAGGGGACATATCAAAATTGCCAAAAATCACTATTTTGCGTAGATTTTTTACCATCAAAATTGATTTCAAAGTACTGCAACTTCTCAATGGATTGAGATAGAGTCAAATGCTTTTCAGCCTTGGTTACACATTACCTTATGATCCATCTGGGTTCATTTTTAGCCTCTCACAAGGGGGGAGGGGGGAGGATGGGGGCATAAAAATGAAAGTGTTTTTTCTCCTCACTCTAAATCTAAAAAGGAAGGTATCATAATAAAAATTTTTTTTTTTACAAAGCTCAATGACACTGGCCAACATCTTATGGTGTATTTCATATGATTAACCAGCCATTTTTGAGTATGGAAGATGAGCCAAATAAATATAGCTGTATGTTCACCACAGATTGCACAGTATTACTTTGGAAAGTTAATGACATTTTGCTCATCAGGCTTCGGATAAAAAGAGTACTTAAAAACTTAAAGTGTTGGTATTACTAGATAAAATACCTTTTGTGCTTTTTTCTGATATCGTTTTATTGTCCTGATTTGCGTTCTTAACATCAGAAGACAATTTTGGATTGGCAACTGTTTTCTCAATAAATGGCTCTTCCATCTGAGTTTCTGGAATTGAATCTAAAAAAACACAGAATCATCAGTGTATCAGTACATCCAGTATAAGATTTGCACAATATCTCATATAATTGTGCATTATTATTCATCATCTCCACGGTAAAAATATGGACAATACTCAAGCAAAATCTTAAATGTTTGTTGGTTAAAGTAGATAGGTATACAATGGGCACATTTTTTCATAAGTAATTCAAATATTAATGTAAACAGTAAATATATGATTTAGATATTCTTATAAAAATATTTTTGGAACACAAAATGTTCAAAGAGGGAAGGGGGGTTAGGGGGGTACTATTTACTAACCTAGCTATGCTGCGTACACCTGTGGTCTGGAGTTAACCCGGGATTTAAATTCAATAGACATGTCTGAACCTAAGATTATCTTAAGTTGTTAATTTGTTTTCATATGAATCATAGACTTATATAACAATATAGCTCTGTGCCTGAATGAAACATAATAAATGTTTTGGGCCTGTGAATATCTGTCTGGCCCTAATGTCACCTAGGTTGAAGGCCCAAATGAGCTAAGACCTAAAAGTATTTTTGCAGAATCAGGAGTTGGTTAATCAACAATCTGTTAGGTAGATAAACCCTTTAACTTGAAGATAAAAACAAAGAAGCATGCAGCAAACTAGAAACATAAATAGAAATGAGAATAAAAAAATAATAATATTTACATGATAGTAATGAAAATGACCTACCATAAGCAGTCCCTTGCTGGTCAATATGATTCATGCATGCAGCTGGAGATATGATTGGCACTGCCATTGGTATTGATGGTACAGATATTTTACGTCTTCTAGTAACAGAATCCTGACTACTTGTTTGTGCTGGTGAGGGCATTGTAGGATTCTGAATACAATACTTCACATTTTTCAACAAGTCCTGGAATAAGTGTAACAATATCAATGAAACATGAGAGCTATCAATAATTTTAGTATACTATGAAAATATACATATAATGTAATTATTTGTTGTTGTTTATTTTATATCTACAACCTGCTTAATTTCTTAATCAGACTTGTTCAGCCTAAATTTTGGGAACTGTCCATTATCAATTTTGGGAAATGCAAAATGATAATTTGAACTCAAGTTAGCAAACAGTATAGAACCTGGTCAGACTGTATGAATATGCAGGATAATCTGCCTCTATAATGTTAGAAAAGACTTATCACTTTCAGTTCCAGTTAAAATACCATTATATGCTCTGTTGTTTTTCTACATAACCTTGCAAGATTTCAAATAAAAAGCAACATATCTCATTTTTGCTCATTGTCTGCAAACCTTATCCTATTTGCACTATTCTATACATGTTTATATGTGTAGCAAGACTACTTACAGCATTTTGAACCTTTTTCATTGAAATCTGCAATGGTGTATTCACTGTCGACACTTTACTTCTTTTCTGAAAGAATATAACAAATTAATATATTAGAAAACTTAATAAAAACATGATAAATATAGTGATCCGTTCAAAACAGGGTTTTTTATGAAGACAAGAACTATATCAGAATTGTTTATATAGCAACCTTAAATTATAATATTTCCCCTTTAGCTGAAGAACATTTAGACAATCTAAAAACACAAATACTGACAGCTCCATCTCCATATCATAGGAAATAAGCAAAACTCAATAATTACCTCACCAAAATCAAATGTACACCCAACTGCATGAGCTATGTGTTCTTCCAACTCTGGGTAAAAGTTAATTTTAATCTTATTGTCATTCACATCCTGGTGTTGACTTGGATAAAGATCACAAACTGGGCTCTTCAAAGATATTTCCAGCTCTATAACCCCATTTTGTTCTGTAGTCAATATAAAGTATCAATTGCATCAGTATATCAATACTTAAGTTTTCATTTTAACAAAAAAGTGATTTATCAATAAATATTTTTGGTATTTTGTTTAAGAATATAATAATAAAGCAGTACTTCGTTCAGTTACTTATCATGATATTTAATGTATATTCATTCACAAATAACAGATGCAAATAATTGTACATATCTATTGAAATCCCCAAATTAAAGCTTTTGGATTTAGTAACCTACCATGGAATGCACACTGAAGTATATCTGACTTATAAATAGCAACAGTTTCCCACAATTCTTCATCCATCTGTGTTTCCTGAAACAATGTAAAAACTGTTTAGCCCATAACATGCCTTAAATGCTGAACAACTTTCAATGTAGACATATTTTACTTTTCATCATTTAAAAAAAAATATCAAAATATGTATTATACAGTTGTGCCAGTTGATCTTTTTCTGCACAGGTAGCATGGGTAAAATCATTTGCTACCAGAAGGCAAAGGGTGACAAGCAGGCAAAGGGTGACAGAATAAAATTTTAAAACAGAGGAGCTTAATAATTCTGGAAAAATATAAAACATGTACGTAATGGATCAAAAACATTTTGTCAATAACTATCGCAAAGTCTTTTAAAAAAATTGTTTAGTATCTGTGGAAGTTATGGTAGAGGTAAAATAATTTTACATGTATATGAACATAATAATTGTACATATATATAAACACAGATGAAAAACTCATAAAACCCCAAAAGAAAAATATCACAAATAAATTTTGAATTTTTTCTTATGCTTTGTTTAAACAGTCTGTTGTACCAAACAAACAATTTTAATGTTTCCCTTATGTGGTCGCTTAATACAAGTTTAACTGAATAATCAATAACCCACATTACTCAAGATAAATTCTATAAAAATCATTCCAAATGTATCGGTGACATTCAATTGATACAAAGGGAGGGGCAATCTTTCATATCTCAATTCATCTTAAAAAACATTTTTCCTTATCAATCATTGGTCAATAGTAATTAAAACTAGAAATGTGTCCATAGGACACGGGTGCCCCCACCCCGTCACTGCTCTGTCAATCTTATGACTCTAGGTCAAATATTTTTTGAAAACTAAAAATCTTTTACTAAGTAAAGGGCAAGAACTTTACAAATACTGAATAAATCCACAAGCAAGCCCCAAGGAGCATAAGTACTCATGCTGACCAACATTCTTGTAAACTTTCAGGCCTACAAGTGAAAAACTTGTTGAGCTATGCATGAACAAGTTGAAAATTGCAAATTTATACTTCTGTAAGTCAAAGGCAATAACTCTAACAAAACTGAAAAAAATCCACATGCAAAGTCCCAGGTGCATAGCTTCACAGTGATGTGAATCATTATTCCTGTAATTTAGTGGTGTTGATCATTATTCCTGTAAAGTTGGTGGATTCTAACTCAAGCACTCAAGAACAAATACCAACATAATGAAACGGTTTTTACAAAGTCAAGGGAAATAACTCTTCAAATACTGATATCCACAAGCGAAACCCCAGGTGTAAACTTAATATGCTGAGCAACCTTCCAGTAAGGTTTAATGACTCTATGTCAAATCCTTTTTGAGTTACATGCGACACAAGTTGAAAATTGCAAAATTTAACTATTTTTTGTCAGGGAGAAAAAATCTAAAAATACTAAATAAATCCAGACGAAAATACCTAGGTGACAACTACACATGCTGATCAACATTCCTGTAAAGTTTCATGACTCTAGGTCAAATACTTTTTGAGTTACAATTTTTGCGAAACAAGTTGAAAATTGCAAAATTTTACTAAGTCAAGGGCAATAACTCTAAAAATACCCAGAAGAAAATACCCAGGTGCACAACTACATATGCTGATCAACATTCCTGTAAAGTTTCATGACTCTAGGTCAAATACTCTTTGAGTTACAATTTTGCGAAACAAGTTGAAAATTGCAAAATTTTACTAAGTCAAGGGCAATAACTCTAAAAATACCCAGAAGAAAATACCCAGGTGCACAACTACATATGCTGATCAACATTCCTGTAAAGTTTCATGACTCTAGGTCAAATACTCTTTGAGTTACAATTTTTGCGACAAAAGTTGAAAATTGCAAAATTTTACTAAGTCAAGGGCAATAACTCTAAAAATACTAAAACTACCCAGAAGAAAATACCTAGGTGCACAACTACACATGCTGATCAACATTCCTGTACATTAGTAATTTCAGGATTCAATATCAAACTGTCCATTATATTACTACTTTCAGGGTTTTCAATATCAAACTGCCCATTACATTAGCACTTTCAGGGTTTTCAATATCAAACTGCCAATTACATTAGTACTTTAAGGGTTTTCAATTTCAATATCAAACTGCCCATTACATTAGTATGTTCAGGGTTTTCAATATCAAACTGCCCATTACATTAGTACTTTCAGGGTTTTCAATATCAAACTGTCCATTACATTAGTACTTTCAGGGTTTTCAATATCAAACTGTCCATTACATTAGTACTTTCAGGGTTTTCAATATCAAACTGCCCATTACATTAGTACTTTAAGGGTTTTCAATTTCAATATCAAACTGCCCATTACATTAGTACTTTAAGGGTTTTCAATATCAAACTGTCCATTACATTAGTACTTTAAGGGTTTTCAATTTCAATATCAAACTGCCCATTATATTAATACTTTCAGGGTTTTCAATATCAAACTGCCCATTACATTAGCACTTTCAGGGTTTTCAATATTAAACTGCCCATTTATATTAGTACTTTAAGGGTTTTCAATTTCAATATCAAACTGCCCATTACATTAGTATGTTCAGGGTTTTCAATATCAAACTGCCCATTACATAAGTACTTTCAGGGTTTTCAATATCAAACTGCCCATTATATTAGTACTTTCAGGGTTTTCAATTTCAATATCAAACTGCCAATTACATTAGTACTTTAAGGGTTTTCAATTTCAATATCAAACTGCCCATTGCATAAGTACTTTCAGGGTTTTCAATATCAAACTGCCCATTACATTAGTACTTTAAGGGTTTTCAATTTCAATATCAAACTGCCCATTACATTAGTACTTTAAGGGTTTTCAATTTCAATATCAAACTGCCCATTAAATTTTACTAAGTCAAGGGCAATTACTCTAAAAATACTAATAATATCCAGACAAAAATACCCAGGTGCACAACTACACATGCTGATCAACATTCCTGTAAAGTTTCATGACTCTAGGTCAAATACTTTTTGAGTTACGTGCGACACAAGAGATGCCCGCCACTAAAGCGGGGGCACAAAAATCAGTCTTTTGCTATATACAATGTATAGCTATTTCAGCTCAACTTGACAGTGGAAAAAAGAGCATAATGTCACTTTAATATCAAATCTAAGTCACAGCAAAATTTTCGAAATGTTCATTTAATCATCAATTATTACAAGTTATGTTTGTAAAGATTTGAATACAGATACAATTTTTAAAAGCAGGCTCGATTGTCTAGCCTCTGAAATAGCTTATAAAGTGGTTGTTAAAATGTTTTGAAAGTTATAAGAAATGATCTTTCAGGGTTTTCAATATCAAACTATGCATTACATTAGTACTTTCAGGGTTTTCCTGCCCATTACATTAGCACTTTCAGGGTTTTCAATATGAAACTGCCCATTACATAAGTACTTTCAGGGTTTTACATATCAGACTGTCCAATTAATTTAGTACTTTCAGGGTTTTCAATATGAAACTACCCATTACATTAGTACTTTTAGGATTCAATATCAAACTGTCCATTATATTACTACTTTCAGGGTTTTCAATATCAAACTGCCCATTACATTAGCACTTTCAGGGTTTTCAATATCAAACTGCCAATTACATTAGTACTTTAAGGGTTTTCAATTTCAATATCAAACTGCCCATTACATTAGTATGTTCAGGGTTTTCAATATCAAACTGCCCATTATATTAGTACTTTCAGGGTTTTCAATATCAAACTGCCCATTACATTAGTACTTTCAGGGTTTTCAATATCAAACTGCCCATTATATTAGTACTTTCAGGGTTTTCAATATCAAACTGCCCATTTATATTAGTACTTTCAGGGTTTTCAATATCAAACTGCCCATTACATTAGTACTTTCAGGGTTTTCAATATCAAACTGCCCATTATATTAGTACTTTCAGGGTTTTCAATATCAAACTGCCCATTTATATTAGTACTTTCAGGGTTTTCAATATCAAACTGCCCATTACATTAGTTTGTTCAGGGTTTTCAATATCAAACTGCCCATTATATTAGTACTTTCAGGGTTTTCAATATCAAACTGCCCATTACATTAGTACTTTCAGGGTTTTCAATATCAAACTGCCCATTATATTAGTACTTTCTGGGTTTTCAATATCAAACTGCCCATTTATATTAGTACTTTAAGGGTTTTCAATTTCAATATCAAACTGCCCATTAAATTAGCACTTTCAGGGTTTTCAATATCAAACTGCCAATTACATTAGTACTTTAAGGGTTTTCAATTTCAATATCAAACTGCCCATTACATTAGTACTTTCAGGGTTTTCAATATCAAACTGCCCATTACATTAGCACTTTCAGGGTTTTTAATATTAAACTGCCCATTTATATTAGTACTTTAAGGGTTTTCAATTTCAATATCAAACTGCCCATTACATTAGTATGTTCAGGGTTTTCAATATCAAACTGCCCATTACATAAGTACTTTCAGGGTTTTCAATATCAAACTGCCCATTACATTAGCACTTTCAGGGTTTTCAATATTAAACTGCCCGTTTATATTAGTACTTTAAGGGTTTTCAATTTCAATATCAAACTGCCCATTACATTAGTATGTTCAGGGTTTTCAATATCAAACTGCCCATTACATAAGTACTTTCAGGGTTTTCAATATCAAACTGCCCATTACATTAGCACTTTCAGGGTTTTCAATATTAAACTGCCCGTTTATATTAGTACTTTAAGGGTTTTCAATTTCAATATCAAACTGCCCATTACATAAGTACTTTCAGGGTTTTCAATTTCAATATCAAACTGCCCATTACATTAGTACTTTAAGGGTTTTCAATTTCAATATCAAACTGCCCATTACATTAGTACTTTAAGGGTTTTCAATTTCAATATCAAACTGCCCATTACATTAGCACTTTCAGGGTTTTCAATATCAAACTGCCCATTACATTAGTACTTTAAGGGTTTTCAATTTCAATATCAAACTGCCCATTACATAAGCACTTTCAGGGTTTTCAATATCAAACAGCCAATTACATTAGTACTTTCAGGGTTTTCAATATCAAACTGTCCATTACATTAGTATTTTCAGGATTTTCAGTATCAAACTGCCCATTATATTAGTACTTTCAGGGTTTTCAATATCAAATATTAAAATTAAGCAGCGAATAGTAAAGGATCTGACTTAAGTCAAACTTAAAAGCATTATACTGACTGCATTAAAACTTCTTACAAACAATTGTATTCAAAGATTTAAAAATTCATATTGTACTGAAACTTCCCTACATGATTTATTAAAGATATAAGATAGCTAATTCACTTCCAAAGGTTTCTAGTAAAATTTTCCCGAAACTATAAGAGCATAAAATATGAAGACTCAAAGCACATGACTGTTCAATTAATCAAGATATGCAAAAAATAGAATTCTGAAAAGCTTCAACCATTACCCATTCATATCTCCTTATCCATAGTATTATTAATGGCAAATACAACACTCGTTGACGGCATCTCATATCATTTCTATAATGCATCATAAATTTATAACCCAAGAAACAGCCTGACAGAAAAAACATTCAGAGAAATGTGCATACAGCCTCAAACCTGCTTTTTAATTATCATTATATAACTGTTTTATTTCACACCTGTTAAAAACAGAAATTTATTATGGACAACTTAAGATTCATTTCAGTGATAAAAAAATGCATGTAGATGTGTTACTCAGATATGAAGATTCAATTAATCGAAACATCTGCAATTTCATTCATTTTAACAGCTAAAGATGCATTTAAAATTTCTTGATGGGATTTTAGATTTTTATTATTTCAGGTCACATAATATAATTGTTAGATAATCATCTTAGACTGTGAAGAAATAATAAATCATTTCATATCATTTCTTATTCTAAGCTAAAAGAGTAATAATAATTAACCGAGATTCTAAAAAATAGAATAAATCATTTTCAAAAGAGAACTTCAAATTGTTAACATAAATATCTTGGTGCATCCACAAATACATATAAATGTAATAAACAGATCATGAAACAAGTCAAACGATTAGTAAATAAGTAAATGGAATCATACAAAAAGGCATGTAACTATTTTAAACATGACATGTCCAAGGACAGCACATTCCACTTTTTTCAACACTGGATAGTAAAATAAAAGCAACATCATCTAAGAAATGGGCATAATTATTCAATTGTGCTTTGCAGACTTACTTTCCCTAAATAGTCAACAAATATTTCAAGTTTGAAATGAATACTTCTAATGTCTTTTGAGAAAAAGGCAAATAATCTGGCAAATTATCTCAGTAAAAAGGGAAATAATTAAACAAAAATGGGTTTCAGGATTATCTGCCCCTTAAAAATGCATTTCAAATTTAAAGTGAATACCTTTTTAAAAATAAACATGTATACATTTGAAGTGACTAAGCTTTTACAGTTACTGAAAAAATGGTATTTAACCAAAAGATATCCAATGCTAATGCTGACGCCAACAAAAGGGTCATTACACTGCCTCATTTTTTTTCTTCCAAAAGTGAAGCTAAAAAAATACCTGACTATACAGGCTGTCCTGCTCACAGAACAATGTTAGCCTTTCACTGCCAATATTGAAATCCACCCAAAACTCTTCATAGCCAGCATCTGAAGGCTTCTTCAACTGAAATTATTTCTTTCATTAGTCTAGAACATGTGGAAAAACATCAATATTCTTGCAAAAAATATTCAAAATTAAACATTTATGAAGATATTTACTTCTTAAAGCATTTGATAATACACACATAGTAGCAAAATTATAAACTCTCCTTGAACAAGAGATTTATTATCAAAGAAACAACATAAAATTAAGAAAAGAGGGTGAATTTTTCTACTTTTGAAATTTTTAAAAAATTAACAAAAAAAATAAAACCACTTTTTTATTCATTTTTTAAACCAAAATTTCTTTTTAAAACCTTAAATAAAATAATTCAATAAAAAAAAGACAATACCTGTTTGGGCTAAAAGGTAGGGGCTTAAATGGCGGGGAGGGAAAAAAAACCCCTGCAAAAAGTATACCAAGGGCAAATAATCAAAATTCAAAAAAATTGTCATAACCCCAAATATTTTCCAAAACTTTAGTACAGTTTTTCCCAAATAATTAATTAAAACAGCTTAAAAAAGAAAGTCATTTTCCATATTTAGTGTCATAAGCATTTGAAATATATAAACGTCAACATGCAACTTGTGAAATAATACTAACAATATACATGTAATTGTTTTCAGTCCAAACATTCTAAAAGTATTAAAGCTGCATGCCTCTAGATGAGCCGAATTATTTCAAGAAAATCAAAATTGAGAAAAATGTACTATGATTTTAATTTAAAGTAAAGCGATTCATCATAAAATAAAAAATTTCATGTAATATGTGACAAATGAACGATTTTAGAGTATATATCACCATTATTCTACAGCGAGACTAATGCAGTAAGGGATATTTTTGCATATTTGACCACATTTTTGTAATGTGTAAATTATTTTCTTCATACACTTTACAGACATGCTGCTTTAAAACACATTTATAACCATGCATATATCACATAAAACAATCACCTGGATTATTATCTTCTTTACCACTATATAATAAATATATAGATAACTAATTGTTCTATCATTACATAGCATGCATCGTTATATAAGGCACAAAATAAACCTACAAGTTAATGCTAAACATGGATCAAACATTTTTTTATTAAATCACAATCTACAGGGCAGCGTTTTACTAACATTGGGTAAGTATTTCGTAAGTATTTTCGTATCTTTACGCTTATGTTTAAACTTACGTAAATCGTAAGTGTGTTTCACAAAACGTTCGTAAGTTTTTTCTTAAACTTGTGTTAAAAATAAAGTGCTGTGGCGTAACTCTTGAAAAAAAGACTTTTCAGAATAATCCATAAAGGGGGCGTTTTAGTAATATTTAATAACCGCGCAAAACAATTTTTGGAAAAAAAAGGCAAACTGGTATTTTCTGTCGTAGTATCTACCGGAACTTTCAGACTCTCACATGAATGTTGCGGGAATTCGTATTTTAAGGGCATAAATTGTGCCCAACGGCCATTCCATCAACAAAGGGGGTTTCTCCCGAATTTAAATTTACATTTAAATAGAACGTAGAAAGGGAACCCCCCGCAAATATGACCCATCATGGAAGATATTGAAAGGGTTTTAGTTTGTTTTGAGAAGTAAAAAAAACTGTTATGTCCGCAAGTGAAAATGTGGATTTTTTCTTCATTTTTATAATGAAACTATTTAAGCTTTTTCACACAGCCAACATTTAATTAAAATATATTTTTATTTCTATTTATTTATTTTTATTTTATTTTATTTATTTTTTATTTATTTTTATGTCTATTCAAGTAAAGAAAAACCCTTTGATTTTTAAAGATTTTACGCTGAAACATGCCTAAAATATGCGTAAGAAAGATGACACAAAAACGCCAACATGCAAACAAAAGATATTCACGATTTTATCTTAGTGAAGTAATGATATCTGAATATTTGCAATAAAAAAACATTTGCAACAGATAATTTCATGTACATTTCAAATCATACTATTTAATAAACATATATAGAGGATATTCAAGTTTTTACTATAAATACAGGATTTATTTTCATCGATTGGTATGAAAATAAATATTTTATGAGAGACGTTAGCCATGAGTGATATATGATTTTTTTCGATACCACAAGATGAAAAAAATCCTGTAAATTATAGAAAGAACTTGAATTTTTCTGTTTATTATATAACATTTTTCTTTTTTCTGACATCCAAATTAAAAAGAATTTCCCTCCAATTTTTAATACTGGCTGATTTTAAGCGCCAGCAAGACAACCTGTGAAAATATGGAAAATATGCTTCACAGTAGTGAAAATAACGGAAAATGAAAATATCCATTTTATTCATATTTCTCAATATTTTTAATTTAAAAGTATATAATGAGAAACTTTTCTGAGTTTTCCAATCAATATTATATGTCATTTATAAAATTCTCAATAAATCATACATATAGCATCAAAAGCTCGTGAAGTTGAAATAATAAAAAACACAACATAAACAAACATAAATAACTGATTTATAATACTTTGGGTTGAGGTCAATCACGACTAAGGGCGGTATGGGGTACCAATATGGAGAAGAAGACAGTAATTAAAAGACATTAAAGCTGATAGGAAGACTTCCATATTCGTACTTTTTTAAATATGTTTTTTTATTAAATATAATTTTTAATAGGCCCGTAAAGCTACATTACCCTTTTCCTTACTTAGACTTTGAGTCGCTTTTCCCCATTTAAATATATTTACAAATCACATCCGCCTCTAAAATTTTCGCTTTCCTGCTCTGCCATTTATTCATAGATGATGTCAGTCTTATTTACGTAAGTTTTAGGTCAAATCAAATTTTAAGCGTAACTATACGTAAAAACTTACGAAATTCTTACTTACGCAAATTTTTAGTAAAACGCCTTTACGTAAAAAAATCAGACGTAAGTTAAAACTTACGTAAATCTTAGGCGTAAGTACGTTAGTAAAACGCTGCCCAGGACTGTTATCTGTTGTGACAAATCACAAAGATAGGCAGTGTCCTTAACACTCTAGCTGATATAGATATAAATAAACAGAATCATACCCTTTGCTTGGGTCCTCAGACTTTGCATTTATGGAGTTGAGGAATAACCTGCAGTCCTGCAATATAACAAACTTATACATTTGACTGAAGTAATGACAATATAAACAAGAGCTGTCACAGGAGACAGCAAAGCTCGACTAATAAAAAACTGGACACAGTTAGGAAAACAAAACTATGAAAGAAAAATCAATTATGTAGTTATAGTAAAAAAATAACAATTGTTAACATAAATTCCAAGTTCAAGGGGGAATAATTCTAGAAATAGTCATGTTAGAGTTATGAACCTTGTCACACAACATGTGTGTAATGATTAAAATATATATTTGAAGTTTGAAGTAGATACCTTAAAAGTAAAAAAGTTATACTATTTCTTAAAGAAAATCCCAAGTTCAAAAAGACATAAATTTGAAACTATAGCTTCAATAGTTATGAACCTTGTCACATAATGAATTAGTAATAATGTAATTGATGACAAGGAATAAGTATTTGAAGTTTGAGGTAGATACCTTTAAAACTAAAGAAGTTACAGTAAAAAATAAAACTTTTCACATAAAAAAAATCAAAGTTTATGGGGAGATATTCTTGCAATATTGGTGCTAGAGTTATGAACCTTGTCACATAACATGTGGTTAATGATAAGGAACATATATTTGAAGTATGAAGTTGTTCCCTTAGAAATAAAGAGTAACAGTAAAAAATAGTATTTTTTTAAGGAAAATTCTAAGTTCAAAGGGAGATTAATCTGAAAATATTGGTGCTAGAGTTATGAATCTTGTCACATGAGATGTGGTTGATGATAAGGAACATATATTTGAAGTATGAAGTTGTTCCCTTAGAAATAAAGAAGTAACAGTAAAAAATAGTATTTTTAAGGAAAATTCTAAGTTCAAGGGGAGATAAATCTGAAAATATTGGTGCTAGAGTTATGAACCTTGTCACATAAGATGTGGATGATGATGATAAGGAACATATATTTGAAGTAGGAAATTGATCCCTTAAGAAATAAAGAAGTAACAGTTAAAAATATTATTTTTTAAGGAAAATTCTAAGTTCAAGGGGAGATAAATCCTTAAAACTTGTCAGAGCATTTTTATCTAAAGTATACAGGGAGATATGGCCTGTTGAATCTTTTTTGTTTGTTTCTATTTCACTGTATCATTGAAGAATAAATAAACAAGTAGCCAAATAATATTAAGTTACTAGGTCTACTGAGACACACATCCTATAGGTCCTAAGAATAGTAAGTTTTTGAAAAATTATGAAGCAGCACTAATTTTAGTATTTACTTTCTCAAACTTTCTCCTTTAAATATTTTTAAAAAGAAGCAATGTAAAGAAAAACATTTACTGTTTCAAAATCCTTATCTTTTATTGCCAAAAATTGCTCCAGCATGTCTTTATCTGAGAAAAACTTGGAGGCAAATTGAGGTCGACTTTTCCTTGGGAATAGTCGCATAAGACATTCAATAATTCCAACTTGAAACTCATAATCTGCAAATGAAATAAAAAATACAGTAATTCATTTAAAACATCTGCATCAATTTCAAGACAGTGAAACAAATTGTGATTCGTATATATGAATATAAATATGGACATATATATTGAAGTTGTTTTTTTCATTGGAATAAAAACTGGTTCATTCAACTCTTTTACAAATCAAAATTCAATCCTAGATCTGCACAAAAGATCTCATAGCCTGATAAGGTAATAGTGCTGGGTTTATAACTCAAGCTGAAACCATGAAATGTTCACATAGTTGGTGCAGAAAAACAACAATGTGCCCCTTGATCCAAATATAAGACACAGAATTGCCAATACATTTATCTTTACAACTTGCCTTTAATAGAACAAAAAACTGTTATAAGGGAGAATTTTCTCCAAAAATTTTTAAAAATTAAAAATTTAAACCCAGATAAAAATTATCAAACAATTTTTAAAATTTCACTTTGTAAATACCCTTTTTTAATAAAAAACCAAAACAAAACTTTAAAATTTTTAATGAATTAAAAACCAAAGGGGTGACCCACTATCATTGTTTTAGGGTTTTGACAAATCCAACGTCTAAGTTTTCAAAGAATCAAAAATCATCCAGCTTTTAAATTTAAAAATATAATAACATATTTAAAACATGATTAAAGAATTATCAAAATCCCGCTTTTCAAAAAAATGACAAACTCAAAACACTTGTACTCTGTTCAAAGGTTCAGTCTCAATGTCAACTATAACACCATGCATATAGAGCAAATAATTCCTGTGTTTTTATTCATGATATCATATTGAAGCAGCCTTTTGTAATTTTTCTATGTAACTGCCTACTATTATAAATGAAAATGTAATACCTCCCACTGTCTTTACCAAATCCACTAGGTCAGATCTGTGAAAAGAACAAGAATTAAATGAATAACTTAATTCTGAAACCGTCTAACAGATAATAGAAACATTTTACATTCACTTTCACCTCAATAAATCTTGAATGGATGTTTAATATGATAATGCAATGCTATCTCCACTATCAGCTTACTTAAATCAGCATATCTGCTTCCATAATTAGCATATCTTAGTACCAGCCATAATTGTTTAACAGTAGAGTATAAAATTCAATATAAAGACTTTTTTCAATGCTAGTTAACAACAACTTTCTGCCAGTAAACATTCAACTTGTGTTCCTTAACAAAACAACAATGAAGTCAGAACTACAAGAAAGTATTGTGTCAATAATTAGAATGAAAACATAGCATTTTATCAAATTAGCAATAAGAAAGTGCTGTAGAGAGAGTTTATATGTTTATGTATATTAATTAACTCATCCATTGGTTGGCTGACTGATTAATTGTTTGATTGATTGCTTGATTTAAGTACCATATATGTATATACAATTACAGGGACAAGCATCATTTGTATTGGAAAAGTTACTGAAACAAAATGATCAACATATATGTATATATTTATATCAACGGTAGGAGTATGATTGTACATACATTTTTTCTCCATTATCTGAATTTTTCAGTAACATTTCTTTCACACCAGTTGGACATTGTTCTAGGAGAATATTTGTTGACTTCAGTACCTGTTGAAGGAAAGCAAACTTCTCTATTACTTTATTCTCAATTGTTACTCTTGTGAATAAGAGATATATATCTAATTAAACCACAAAAAGCACATTGTTTCAACTTGAAAGCGCAGAACTTTTTTTAATCAATTTTAAAAATAAACAAAATTTTTTAAAAAAAGTGAAAAGGGTTTTGTCCCCGAAGAAAGGGCAATAATCATAGAGTGGGGGGAAATAACTTTTTTACCCGGGGGTTGAAGACCAGAAAATGTCTTTTTTAAAGCATTAATTTATAATTTTTATTAAAACTAAACCATTAATTTTTCATTTCAAAACATGAATTGACCACCTGGGGTTTTGAAAATCATCTAAAAATTTTTTTTTCAATTAACTTTTACACTGTTTTTCAATTGTGTTGATTATTCTTAAAAAAAAACATTTACTTAATAGTCATTGTCAGTGAGAGTTAGAAAAATACTAAATCAAATGTATGGTGAGCATTTACTGTTATGTTTATCAGAAATTATTCTGATACAAACTTGTAAAATTTTATAAATTGATAATAATGTGTAGATAAGTGACTTTCCTTATTGTGACAAGAACTTTTCTCCCACTTACTTACCTCTAATCTTGTTTGGAATCCTAGCATAGGCACTTGAAGGAGGTCAAGAAAATTTGGACACAACTCAAGAACAACATTTGCTTTAGCTGAAATAAAATTTATTATATAACTTGTTGAAGTGAATTTATATTACAAGTGAAAAATATAACTGCCTGAGTGAGTAATTTTAAACATCAAATTGCAAGTTCTTTGTATTATACAGAAAATTTTAATTAATAAAAACAATGGCAAAAATAAACACATGCTTATTTAGAATAGTCAAGAGCAAGTATTTTGAAAAAAAAATCATATAATTACCATTTAAAACCTATGATAGACGTAGATCAAACAGCTGTACAGATTAACTTATTTACAACATTTTTTAAACAATAAAACTAGGTCTGATTTTTAAAGGATGGATTTTAAAGTCATAAGTTTGTTATCTTCTGTATCTGGTGTAAACTTTAATATACTGGAAACACACCTCAAACACTATTGTGCAAAGTAAAAACAGTAAATAATAGGAATTAACAAATTAAATCAACATAAATCATTAACAAAAAGTTCTAACCATATTAAACATTGTTTTAACTCAAAAGAAAAACTGAACACAACATGATATAAAACATTTTCATACCCTTGGAGTTTGCATCAGCAAGTACCTTTAGAAAAAGAAATTTTTACCATGCTGCCTTTTTGTTTATTGGTAAATAAAGAATAGAGTCTGAACAAGCATTGTTTACTGTAAAGTTTTCCTTCTATACAATGCAACAAATGTCTTTGTCAAAAAGTTGTCATTTGTAATAATGATTATGCTACTGTTTCCTCTATTTTTTTTATATATATAGTAGAAAGACTATGACTTTGTGTTGAACTTCGATTAGTCAATTTTCTCAAAGCTTTTATATGGTTGTAAAGAAAAATTCTATAAGATATTACCATAAATAAGTCGAAAGTACTTTGATTAATTTGACAGTAGCCTTATCCACCGTGTATATACAGTAATGCCGGAATGTGAAAATAACGCATGATTCGTGCAATAAGTAATGCAGAATTGTGCAATAAATGGCAGATACTTGACAGGATTTCCAACGCAGTAAGTAAACTGGCCAATATATTTTTTATTTTACCGAACAGAAAAAAAGGAATAGCCGCATACGGCTACGAAGACATTACTCTTTATCCCTCATCAAGATTATTTCCACAAAATTGTTTACTTTTCAAAATCATTTGTGAAAATGATGGCTTGACCACCGTTTTGAGCGAGATTTTGGCTTTTTGTCGGCTCTTATAAGTACAACAATGTATATTATACCGTATAATTTCGATTTTCAGTAGACAAGTGACATAAACTTCTGGTGATTTAAGAAAATTGAGGTATCCGCCACTTATTGCACAATTCTGCGTTACCTATTACGTGAATCTTGCGTTATTTTCACATTCCGGCGTTACTGGATATACACGTGGAATCTAGCCACAACGATGATTGCCGATCAACTTTTATGACAGCAGGCATCAAAAAATATTTTCAGAGTCACTCGTCCTGCAGGAAGAGTGGCTTCTTATTCTAGTGTGCAGGCAACACTTTTCTACTCCTCCTGCATCAAAATCTCTTAAATTCTACTCGTAATTAGTAGCGGACGAGTGAAATTTTCAATCTCTGGACAGGTGTTAATTACACAGCTATATGTTTTATAATTATACATTCCCATGTTGAAATTATTCTAACTGCCATAGTTGAATTTGAACTTAAACATTACAAATTAGTTTTGTTGAAAATCACACTGGATATAGCAGTACATATGCACTTATATAAAATCAAAAATCTATTTATGTTTTTTTTTATATTATTGCATTTTTTTTCGTTTCATTTTTTTTTTTCTTGAAGGAATTTTTACAAATATGTCATAATGTATTACATTTGCTGTTTCTGTACATAGTTCAATTGTAGATAGTAGGGTCTCTGATGGCCCGTCCCTCACTATTCTTCCAAGGACTTGCTCAAAAACAACTGAAATTTCAAAGTTGAATTAATTCTCCATAATTAACTTTATAGAATGTGATAATTCAATTAAATGATTTTATCAATAAATTCTGTGTAATGAGCATACTTATACTGGACTTCAGGTGCTATTCAGATGAAAGGAAACTACAACCACTGACCTTCAGTAAGCTAACTAGATTATATCTTCTTTATTTTAAAGAATCTATAGCCCCCTACGGGATTAGTACCCATAGGATTGAAGGGCAAGGGATTCAGTGACCTCAAACATTTGGCAAGAGTTCTAAGACAGTTCAAAATATTGGAAAATACTGAGCATTTATCTATATTGTATTTTGGAAAACAATGAATGAAATTTGTTGAGTCAAAAGCAATAGACATATTTTGAAAATACTTTTATATAAAAATCACTTTTAACTTTAATTCATTGAACTTGTAAATTCAAAAAGACAGTATTTAATTTACCGCAAGAACTAACCACTATCAAGTATTGGTGTCATAAGAGGAAACGTGGTTGTGACCCCTATACTATAGGTCTTGAACTAACAATCATGGAGACAAGCAAGTGTTTATTTTTTATGTACACAACTAATAACTTCTTACCTTTAATCAAATCAAGCAGACCTTGATCAAAGAGATCAGACACACAACCATTATTGTGCTTCACCAAATATTGTAAAGATCCTAGAAAATCTTGTAGCTGTGAAAGGTCACTCTGAAGTCTAGCAATGTGATACTCCAGCTCCTAAATGCAAAAACAAGAAATTATCCAAACAGAATTTTGTTTCCTTGTTCAAATATGGTTGTTTCTACAATTCTAATGCAAAAACAAATAAGAACAAACTAAGTACAACGCATGTATTTACCATGCTAATAAATGTTTATTTTTGCAATAAAATTTTATTCCAGTTAAGAGACATGCAGAGACTACATGTATAATGAATTTTAAAACAATGATTTCTTAAATAAAAATATAAGTCCATGTATAATTATATTAAATGAATGAAATGTTCAACATATCTAGTTTAAAAGATTATATTTGCATATAGTACGAATATTTCAAATTAACCGAATATCTAAACATGGTATGATGTATTCAGCATCTAGATTAGGGTACTCCATTAAAGCTCAATTACTGCTTTTACTACAGTTTGTGAATTTAAAGTTTAGCAGTAGCGAGCATCTAGCCTTGGGCTAGTTGTATTTGAATTATGCTCATAAATTGAAATTTTATTTTATTTTTTGAAAATGAAATAACTTTATTTTTATTGAAACAACCAAGTAATCCTAAATCCAGGGAATAGAATTACAAAAATATCTGTCTAATCACATTAATTTTTTACTTTTTATCACTTTAAAAGTAAAACATTTCTGGACTTGTAAAACCTATTAAGGTAAATGAATTGTTTTCCTGACCCTTACTATTTTGATTGCTAATACTAGTTAAATGGTATATTTTTAAAAATGTATAATCTTAATGTGCAGTCTGAACAAAAACTTTAAGTAAAAGGAAGCATTATAATTTTTCACCTCTGCAGCTTTTTGAATACAATCTCTCTTAATAGCTTCTATTGCAGCTGATGATAAACATCCCTCTTCAAAACTTTTTTTAAGCCTGTTCACATTCTCCATAGTCAGGTATAATCTAAAAATATAAGACATCATAAATGATTATTTTGACATGAAAATTATTCTGTTTTACATTACAACAAGCATGACTTTTTTCAGTGTTTGCACTATAAACAAAACAAGAAACATGGCAATGCCATGAAACCAGGTTTTCAATTATCACCATTGTAGATAAATATGTTGTATTTGAAATACAAATACAAGCAACAAACAATGTAACTATGTGCAATGTAAAACATGAATAATGTAGGAGGAATTGCCACTGAAGAAGTGTTCACTATTATATTATGTATAAGGAAAAAAACAAAGGGCCATAATTAGGTCAAAAACTATCCAATCACAAAACCCCGACAATATGTGCCAGGGTGCTTGATGACAAAGCTTCTGTGAAAGTTTGAACAAAATCCGTTGAGAAATGTAGGACGAGTTCAGCACAGAAGAATTTGTTCACTATAATTATATTGATAATTCTGTATAATGAAAAACAAGTTACAAAGTAGACATGAAATAATATATCATATCTTTTTTAAATTACCTCCAAAGATGATATGACCTTTGACTGCCAAATCAAGTTAAAATCATGTAAACAGGATTTTCAATGTTAATGTCACTGTGACCTTGACCTTGGAGCCAGCCATGCGGAACATGCGTTCTGCACGTCATCTTGATGTGGTAAACATTTGTCTGAAGTTTCATCAAAATTCTTCAAAGGGTTGAAGAGTTACAGAGCGGACAGGATTTTCAATGTTAATGTCACTGTGACCTTGACCTTGGAGCCAGCCATGCGGAACATGCGTTCTGCACGTCATCTTGATGTGGTAAACATTTGTCTGAAGTTTCATCAAAATTCTTCAAAGGGTTGAAGAGTTACAGAGCGGACAGGATTTTCAATGTTAATGTCACTGTGACCTTGACCTTGGAGCCAGCCATGCGGAACATGCGTTCTGCACGTCATCTTGATGTGGTAAACATTTGTCTGAAGTTTCATCAAAATTCTTCAAAGGGTTGAAGAGTTACAGAGCGGACAGGATTTTCAATGTTAATGTCACTGTGACCTTGACCTTGGAGCCAGCCATGCGGAACATGCGTTCTGCACGTCATCTTGATGTGGTAAACATTTGTCTGAAGTTTCATCAAAATTCTTCAAAGGGTTGAAGAGTTACAGAGCGGACAGGATTTTCAATGTTAATGTCACTGTGACCTTGACCTTGGAGCCAGCCATGCGGAACATGCGTTCTGCACGTCATCTTGATGTGGTAAACATTTGTCTGAAGTTTCATCAAAATTCTTCAAAGGGTTGAAGAGTTACAGAGCGGACAGGATTTTCAATGTTAATGTCACTGTGACCTTGACCTTGGAGCCAGCCATGCGGAACATGCGTTCTGCACGTCATCTTGATGTGGTAAACATTTGTCTGAAGTTTCATCAAAATTCTTCAAAGGGTTGAAGAGTTACAGAGCGGACACAATTTCGTTTGACGCCCGCCCGCCCATCCGCCCGCCATACCCCAATCTAATAACCAGGATTTTCAAAATTGAAAACCTGGTTAATAAGTAAAACAAAAACCACCATTAGACAGGGGCAACACTCAGTTTATTTCACAAGGCCTGAAAGTTTACAAGAATGTTGGTCAGCATATGTAGGTTTGCTTGTGGATTTATTAAGTATTTGTAAAGGTCTTGCTCTTTACTTAGTAAAAGATTTTTATTTTTCATTTTGTGGCACATGTAGCCCAAAAAATATTTGACCTAGAGTCATAAGATTGACAAAACAGTGGAGTGTGCAGTGTAAGAAATTCAGATTTGAATCCACTAGGCTGGTCGGACTACTAGATTGGAATATTCACTAGCCCAAAAGACATTTCACTAGCACGATTCATTTGTTCAAAACAGTTGTTTATATATTGCCTCTGAAAATACAGTAGCCTGGTTGGGCTTGTTACTGTGAAAAGTTGGTAGCCCGAGAAGAAATTTAGTAGTCAGGGGCTATAGGACTACTGCTAATTTCGAACAGTGGAGTGTGGGAGCACCCGTGTCCTATGGACACATTTCTAGTTTTGTTTTAATTTTCTTTAGCTGTTCATTTATGAAATAATCATACCTAGGTCATATACCGTTACTTTTTGAGTTACGTGCCACACAAGTTGAAAATTGCAAAAATGAAATATGAAAATTAACAAAGGGCAATAACTCAAAACATAAGCAATGCGGGGCAGCAGTTTCTGTGCACTGCACTTCTTATCAATAAGATCTATCATCCTATGAAGTTTCAAGTCTATAGCTTTTATAATTTATGAGAAATGGCCTGGACAAAAATAAAGTATGAAAATTTACAAAGTGCAATGACTCAAAAAATAAGAAATGCAGAGTACCAGTTCTTAAGCACTGCACTTCTTCTTAATGAGATCTATCATCCTTTGAAGTTTCATGTCCATAGCTTTTATACTTTAGGAGAAATAGCCTAGACAAAAATAAAGTATGAAAATAAACAAAGGGCAATAACTCCAAAAATAAGAAATGCAGAGTACCAGTTCTTAAGCACTGCGCTTCTTCTTAATGAGATCTATCATCCTATGAAGTTTCATGTCCATAGCTTTTATACTTTAGGAGAAATGGCCCGGACAAAAATAAAGTATGAAAATTAACAAAGGGCAATAACTCAAAAAAAATAAGAGGTGCAGAGCACTGGTTCTTAAATACTGCACTTCTTATCAATAAGATCTATCATCCTATGAAGTTTCAAGTCTATAGCTTTTATAATTTATGAGAAATTGCCCGGACAAAAATAAAGTATGAAAATTAACAAAGGGCAATAACTCAAAAATTAAGAAGTGCAGAGTACCGGTTCTTGTGCACTGCACTTTGGGTCATTATAAGAAGCATGCATACCAAGTTTGAAGTCAATGTGACTTATAATGACTGACTTATGCTCCGGACAAGCTTAAGGGGACGCCGACACCGACAACAACGCCGCCGACAAAAGTAACCCCAATATGTCGTCGTTTTCAAGGCGACACAAAAAACCCAGGTGCACAATTTCACATGCTGAGCAACATTCCTGTAAAGTTTCATGACTCTAGGTCTAATGTTTTTTGAGTAACATGCGGCACAAGTTGAAAATTGCAAATTTTTACTAAATCAAGGGCAATTACTCTAACAAAACAGAATAAATCCACAAGCGAAACCCTAGGTGCATAAATTCACATGCTGAGCAACATTCTTGTAAGGTTTCAAGACTCTAGGTCAAATACTTTTTGAGTTACATGCGACACAAGTTGATAATTGCAAATTTTTACTAAGTCAAGGGAAATAACTCTAAAAATACTAAATATATCCAGTGGAAAATACCTAGGTGCACAACTTCACATGCTGATCAACATTCCTGTAAAGTTTCATGACTCTAGGTCAAATACTTTTTGAGCTACGTGCGACACAAAATGAGAACGGATGGACGGATGTTCTAACAGGACAGTAATAATGTTGCTACTCTATTTTTCTCTCTATTGTTCTTTTTAGCCACACAAAAGGAAATAGCCACAAAAAAATATTACGGAATGAATTTCATTAAAGAGAAAGAACAGTTACCTATTGTCCCTCTAGCCACATTATTACTGTCCCGTGAGAGTGGACGGACATATAGACCGGCTAAAATGGAAAAAGGGGCCATTTCTTTTGTTATTTACTTTTGTTTAATAAAGGGCCAATGGCCCCCTCACTCTATTGTTACGAAATGAACTCTATTGTTCTCTTTTGTTCTGTTTACAGTTAGATGGCCCCCTATCCCTATTCGGTAATTTAACATGTCTGTCTAGTGGTACTTGTTGTTTTATCCAAGTATGAATTATTTCCATAAATAACTGATATGATTCCAATAAGACCAACCACACGCGTACATTCAATTATTTATTATTCATATATCGATTTTGAACTAGTATGTTCTTCGTCAGTGAATAAACAGACGTTTATTGGGAGAATCTTATATCTAATTTAGATTATTAGGAAAACTATTTTGAAAGTACCATTGTCAGTTGAACAAACAAACAAACGTCTATTTTCATACACATTTTTAGGTCCGCTATTTTTTTAAAGTATTCTTTCACATTAGTCATTATAATTAAACTTCATGTCGATCTACTATTAACTAGAATATTATACTCATTAATGATACTGGCACTGCATGAAATAAAAACAATATATGGCAAAAGTAAAACTTTTCTTAAATAATGAAAATGATACACAAGTGAATAATATGTTTATTTATTATTAAATTGATGTGTAACTTATAATAAAGTTTTGTAACATGTTTATGTTGTATTTGATAATGTATTAGTTTTCAAATACCGAATTTATTTCAGTTTGTTTGTGTACAATAATGTGCTTATATTTAGTTCATGATACTAAACGCTTTGAAACAAGAAAGAAAACAACAAATGAAACTTATGGTACAAAACTGTCATAAGCTGACAAACATATAGGTATTTTCCGCTGTATGACACAAGGAAACAACGATATATTCAGTCAAAATCAGTTTAAATGGGCTAGACATATATTATAGGTGGGCCATTTTGAAAACAGTTTGTCATCATTTAAATCACGGTAATGGTGTATAATTTCAGTTTTTTCGTGTTTCAGTTAAAATTTCTACATGTTATTTTGCATAATTTTAAATATCAAAACTATCTTTACTTTTTAACTCAAAATTTATTTTTTCAACAAACAAGAACATTTAGAAAATGATGATTTTTTCAGAAGTATGCACAAATTAAACGGACTATTGTTGCTTTTTGCAGAAGTTTACAGAAGCGTCCTGGTGCCAATTTAACATGTTCTATAAAACAAGAGGGCCATGATGGCCCTAGATCGCTCACCTGACTTATCAAACTCATCCAAACAATTACCTAGACAAGCATTCTGACCAAGTCTCATGACAGGTGAGTCAAAAATGTGACCACTACAGTGTTAACAAGGATTATCCATATTTGAGCAGTGCGACCTAGTTTTTTACCCAGGTGACACATATTCAAACTTGACCTAGAAATCATCAAAACAAACTTTCAGACCAATTTCCAGGATACTTGGATCAAAACAGTAGCAACTAGAGTGTTAACAAGATTTTTCTATTTTTAGCTCCTGTGACCTAGTTTTTCATCCGAGATGTCCCATGTTCGATTTATTCCCAGCAATGACCTAGACAAGTTTCCTGACCAAGTTTGATGACAATTGAGTCAAAATTGTGACCACTAGAGTGTTAACAAGGTTTTTCTATTTTTAGCTCCGGTGACCTACTTTTTCATCCGAGATGACCCATGTTCAAACTCATCCGAGCTATCACCTAGACAAGCATCTTGACCAAGTTTGATGATGATTGATGCAAAAATGTGACCGCTAGAGTGTTAACAAGGTTTTTCTATTTTTAGCTCCGGTGACCTACTTTTTCATCCGAGATGACCCATGTTCGAACTCATCCGAGCTATCACCTAGACAAACATCTTGACAAAGTTTGATGATGACTGATTGTTAACAAGGTTTTTCTATTTATAGCTCCGATGACCTACTTTTTCATCCGAGATGACCCATGTTCAAACTCATCCGAGCTATCACCTAGACAAGCATCTTGACCAAGTTTGATGATGATTGATGCAACAAGAGCTGTCCGTAAGACAGCGCGCTCGACTTTTTTATTGCTTGCCAATAAAAAAAGTTTTTGCAGTAAAAGGCAATACAAGAATCTCTGTATTTTTAAAGTGAACAATGGCCATGAGCATTAAGATATTTAGTGAAGAATTATTTTACTGAATTGTGTAACTTGTCCACCAATCAAATAGGCGAGATAAAATGTGAAATATGCATATACTACTGATTTTAATTTCAAGTACAAAAAGAGAAAAATAACTAGTTGTTTGATACCCTTGAATATTACAGCAATGTTTATATGACATAATTTATGGTAAAGTGAACAAGTGGATAGGAATGAATTTTTTTTAGATTTTTTAAGTTTTTTAGTGCTTGCCTATAATACAAAACATTGACAGTTAAGGGCCATAATTCAAATAAAATCTTTGACAGAATTACCTTCTCCTGGACATGTTTGGGAATCATGATTGTAAACAAGTATTCCAACTTTCAAATTAATATCTCAAACAGTTCAGTCAAAAAGTGGACTGGTACTAAAAAACTTAACCAAGATTCTAAGTCGATAAAAGGCCTTAATTTTTAAAACAAATCCTTGACAGAGTTACCTTCTCTTGCGTACAGATGGGGTAATGATGTGAAATAGCATTAAAAGTTTCAAAGCAATATCTCAAAGGGTTAAGGCAATAAGTGGATTTTACCCATATTCAATGTATTTTCTAAGTCAAAAAGGGGCATAATTCTGTCAAAAACCTTGACAGAGTTATGTCCTCTTGTCTGTTGATGAAGGTCGTGATGGTAAACAAGTATGGTCAGTTTCAAAGCAATACCTCCAATGGTTTTGAAATAAAGTGAGGTGGTACAAAAAACTTAACCAAGCTCAATACACTTTCTAAGTCAAAAAAGGGCCATAATTCTGTCAAAAACCTTGACAGAGTTATGTACTCTTGTCTGTAGATGGAGGTTATGATGGTGAACAAGTATGGTAAGTTTCAAAGCCATACTTGTAATACTTCTGAAATAAAGTGGGGTGGTACGAAAAACTTAACCAAGGTGTGACGCCAACGCTAACGCCGACGCCGACGCCGGGGCGAGTAGGATAGCTCCCCTTTTCATAGAAAAGTCGAGCTAAAAATGTGACCGCTAGAGTGTTAACAAGTTTTTTCTATTTTTAGCTCCGGTGACCTACTTTTTCATCCGAGATGACCCATGTTCGAACTCATCCAAGCTATCAACTAGATAAGCATCCTGACCAAGTTTGATGATGATTGATGCAAAAATGTGACCGCTAGAGTGTTAACAAGGTTTTTCTATTTATAGCTCCGGTGACCTAGTTTTTCATCCGAGATGACCCATATTCGAACTCATCCGAGCTATTATCTAAACAAGCATCCTGACAAAGTTTGATGATGATTGGATCAAAAATGTGACCACTAGAGTGTTCATAAGGTTTTTCTATTTTTAGCTCCTGTGACCTAGTTTTTCATCAGAGATGACCCATGTTCAAACTCATCCAAGCAATTGACTAGACAAGCAATCTGACTAAGTTTGATGAAGATTGGTTCAAAAATGTGACCACTAGAGTGTTCACAAGGTTTTTCTATTTTTAGCTCCGGTGACCTACTTTTTCATCCCAGATGACCCATGTTCGAACTCATCCGAGCTTTCAACTAGATAAGCATCCTGACCAAGTTTGATGATGATAGAGGCAAAAATGTGACCGCTAGAGTGTTCACAAGCAATTGTGGACGTACGACGGACGGACGGACGACGGACATTCACCAATCCTAAAAGCTCACCCTGAGCAAGCTCAGGTGAGCTAAAAAGATAACTCCTACGTAGGACTTTGCAACTCCTACGTAGGACTTTATAACTCCTACATAGGAGATAAAAAAGCCTAATTAGGAGTTTATAAGGACTTTGTAAGTCCTACGTAGGACTTTATAACTCCTAAGTAGGAGATATAAAAACCTAATTAGGAGTTTTAAAGTCCTACGTAGGACTTTATTAGTCCTACGTAGGACTTTATAACTCCTACGTAGGAGTTAAAAAAGCCTAATTAGGAGTTAATAACTCCTACGTACAGTACAGCTCGCGCGGAATGTACATTTTTTATGCTTCCTCCGCGATCGACGTATAAGAGAAATCTCTGCTTCTCCGCGAATCAACTCCCTAAATCGCGGAGATACAACTGCAACGCGTATCGCGGAGTTTTAGAGAGTGTAAAAGCGCTAACTCGGAGGTTCTCCGAGAAAATCCATAATTTAATCGGTAAATTAGTAATGTACTTACATATTTATTTTTTACTGTTTTTCCTTTTTTACTAAATTAATGTTGTACGTTATTTGTTGCATTTTTGTTATTTTTCATATTTAGTTCGTCAAAAAATTGTCGTAAATACATAATCGATACCATGGCACTTGTACTTTATCTTAACAAGTTATTATTCAAAACATGTTATCAAGTATTTTAAGATGTCCCATTACATTGTATTATATTATTATTTCTATTTTCAGGTGTGTATGCAAAGGATAGGTGAAAAGGATAGCGATTTTGTGTTCTATTTAACATAAACCATACTATACTTTACATATTTGTGATAAATATATTTCTCTTTTTGTCTAGTTCAAATGCGCAATAAAAATCTGTACTTAATTCGTATTCAATACGACAATTATCAAGCGAGGTGTTACATTTTCAAAGAATATTTAAAAACAAAGAAAGGTGTTAATTACATGTAATTTGAGTACTGGTTGTCATCGTTGCCTTTTTTCTCGCCGATTTTACATCTACAGATATGTTAATTAAAGCAAGGTGTTGAAATTTCAAAGGTAAGATTTCATAGTTAGAACCAAGAAAGCTTTGAGTAAGAGTAATTTGAGAACTGCGTGTCACAGACAGCTCACTTATACAGGGTTGTCATTAAGAGGCGGCAGGAGGCCAAAATGCCTGTCTCAAATGCATTATGGGCCGCCTCAAAATTAAGAAAACACTCTTTGTTATGCATGATAAAGACAGAAATGACCGCCTCAATTTCAAAACAAACCTTCTGCAAAAAATGTTAATGACAACGCTGCTTATATACGACAACATTCATATCTTCCTTCATTCTGCTTTAATCTCTGACAGTGTATTTCTATAATTGTGCATTTCTAAAGTAAATATTCGTGTTTGTTATTATTTGTTCCAAAGGACTTGGACATACTAGTGTTGAAAAAGTGTTTGTCATTTTGTTTCAAATCGATAAACTTGGATTTAAAAGTGTTTTAATAATAAGTGCTTTGTGCCGATAAGTATGGCTGTGCGCCAGGTGACAAAGAGACACTCTCACTATCTAGTAAGGTATGATTGTGACAAGAAATTGCAAGTGAGAACAGCAGGGTTTTTTGACACTGGCGAAAAGGTAAGCTAAAGAGAACATTATTTAATGTATTGTTTTATGTATTTCTTAAAATTGATATTGTGATCATATATCATTGGCAAATTAAGCTTAACAAATATTTCGAACTACGTCCATGAAGCATTAATCATGATCATTAATCTGATGTCATTAGGTTTAACAGTTTAGGATATTTTGAAGGTTTGCCATAAAATTTTTCAACGAGAAACTATTATATAACATGATGGCATTTATTTTGGTAATGATCGATATTGTAATTCCTCGGTAACTTAGATTTCAGATCTAATGTAATATAATCGCTGCATATGAATAACAAATGTCTGTAAAATATGTCAAAATCTAAAATGTCTCTACCTATAGGAAAATTCAACTCTATTACAAGTAAATAGAGTTGGTAAGCAAACAGCATGGATCCTGATCAGACTGCGCGGATGCGCAGGCTGGTCTGTGTCCATGCTGGTCGCAAACCCATTATATTGGTTTTGTCGTGATGCGGCTCAAATTAAATAATTGAAACGATGCAAGCAAAACATATCAGAAATAAAAATAAACCGTAAAACCCAAACAAGCTTGAAAAGACCCATTCATATTGAAAGCTGCCACTTCACACCGTTAATTTTTTTTCAAATTATAATATATATAGGATATTCAAGATTCTTCACTTTTCATTGAGTGGTATAAAAATAAAGATGTCACTATTAGCAGTGAGTGTTTCACTGCATTTTCAATTCATACAGTGAAAATTTCACCAATATTTCTCGAAATTTCCAATTTTATAATATATATATATATATATATATAATATAAACAGTCCGATATTTTACAATATGTGTATCTTTTTTTAACAGATTACGGTTGGAAAGACGTACACGGTTCAGTGGGGTATGTCCAAAAAAGATGCAGCCACAGCAGAAGTCCTGAGTGCGGGTACCAGTGACGAGTGTAATGTAGCCATGAAAACAACGCTGGAAGAAGATGGGAAACAGAAAAAAAGAAAGGTGTGTACATGACCCTTACACAACTTCCTTTTTCCCATGTATTTCAATTTCGATATCCCATAAAATTGTTCTAGTGGAAACCTTTAATAAATAAATGATATTGATTGAGATCTAATTGAGATCTAATTTCATAAAGAATTAATTGTTCAATAATATTAACTTACTTGTGCCTCTAGTGAACAAACAGTTGAGTTCACACTAAAGGTTACACAAAGTGCACTAGGAGGGCACTTCATAAGTGCACTTTGTAGTGCACCAGACCTATTATATGTATTAAGCAGTTACCTTTTATTTCAATGAATAGCAATTTGACTTTTACAAATACCAAATTTACGGGATCGTAAAAGTGAGTGAGTTGTGATAAATATTTATATGCATGATTGTTAAACCTGCATGCCTCCAGATGAGTCATTTATTAAAGTTTCATTAACATCAAACTTGAGAACTACGTACTACGATTTTAGTAAAGGTAGAATGATGCTTCTTTTTTGTTATTTCACAATATTATATATAAAATACTTTTCATGAAAATTAGCAAAATCTGGAAGCGTGCTGCTTTAAATAGCAAGTAGCTACACTTTTCGAGAAAACTTGGAGGCTGATCGTAGCGCAACATGCATTTAAAAGTTGACATTATATATAAGCAGTATTTTAAAAGTATATTTCATTTCAGGCCACTTCTGCATGGGGATTACCAAAAAAGAAAATGTGTAAACCACTCCGTCTTACTATGCCGTCAGAGTGTCTCCCCAGAGTACCCTCGACAGAAGAGAACACTTCGAATGTGTCTCTGCCTGAAGAAGTTGTTACGCCAACCACGCCCGTTGGGATGTCACCGGAGCCTCTGGAAGAAGTTACACCAACAACGCCCGTTGTGAATTCATCGGAGCCTACACCTTCGACACCACGTCTTCGCCATGAAGTTTCAACGCCTACAACGTCTGTTTCATCAGAGCCGTCTTCACCATTGACGCCACGCGCTTTTCGTCAGAGTGGGATTAGTAGCCTCCAACAACTTCTTTCTACCGTGAACGTACTTGTTAATCAGAACTCCCAACTTATCAAGGACAACAGGATGTTGATTCAAAGTGTCGAGAGACAGTCCTTGCTATTAAGCAAATTAAGTGCGGATTTTCACCAACTGTCTAGCAAAGTGGACACTATGTCAGTGAGGGTTAACGAAAGTCCAAAAGATGATTGTGCTCCATGCCATGTTTCAGCCCAAGAAGTTGAGGAAGTTATTACGTCGGATTATTCTTTAAGTGATAGTGAGGTACACAATATCAAAAGTGATAGCAACAATGCTGGACACTTTGCGTCCAATTTAGTTAAAAGGTTATTCCCAGAACTCTTTGGTATTGGAAATTACAAACACCAGTTCAATTGGTATGGGGGAGGGAAATTAGGAAAAAAAGAACTGTGCAGAGAAAGAAAGGCATTGGTTCGCCAATATGTGGTCAGGTACTACCCTGAACATAAACAGGAGGCATCATTCAAAGACTGTATTGTACCGAAAGTCAATGAACTGTTACGAAGGAAAGAAAAAGGCAAAGAAAATGTGATGGGTCAACTTGATGAGAATGCCTCATTCTCATCATTCTTGACCTATTTGAACTGTTAATGGAAACGTAAAAAAAAGACAGTCAAAAACACGTTCAAAATGTTGGATTACTACATGTACATATACTGTATATAATGTATTAAAACACTGTATATAATTCAATCACTTTTTTGATAATAAACCTGACATTGTATATATTTCAATTACAAAATGTTTTCATTGTATGTTTATAATAAATGTTACACTGTTTACTGTATGTCTTGTTTGAAAATGTCTTATGTTAATATTTATGTTTTAAGCAATTAAGTATAAAAACACTAATGATCTGATGTATTAAGTTTCTGTAATAATGTTAATAAATGGTAGTGGAAAAAAAATGTTGTACGTTTTTAAGTGATCGAACACTGTAAATAATTCACTTTTTTGAAAATAAATCTGACACTGTATATATTTCATTTCATTGTGTGTTTATAATAAATGTTACACTGTATACTGTATGTATTGTTTGAAAATGTTTATGTTAATATTCATGTCTAAGCAAAAAAGTATAAAAACACTGATGTATTGATAGTTTCTGTAATAATGTTAATAAATGGTAATAAAGTAGTGAAAAAAAATGTTGTACGTTTTTAAGTGAGCCTCGTATCCATTATCTGAACTCTATATCTACATACATGTACATGTATACAAAGTCTGAAATGCGAGACTGTTCAACATCGGCTTAAAAAAACACGAGTATAGTAACAATTTTTCAGGGTAGAAAAGGAATCAGTGAAGTAAAAAACGGGAACAAAACTAAAACTTTACCGGTCAAATGAAGGTAAAAACATCCGTACAAGAAACAAGAGGGCCATGATGGCCCTAGATCGCTCACCTGAATTATCAAACTCATCCAAACAATTACCTAGACAAGCATTCTGACCAAGTCTCATGACAGGTGAGTCAAAAATGTGACCACTACAGTGTTAACAAGGATTATCCATATTTGAGCAGTGCGACCTAGTTTTTTACCCAGGTGACACATATTCAAACTTGACCTAGAAATCATCAAAACAAACTTTCAGACCAATTTCCAGGATACTTGGATCAAAACAGTAGCAACTAGAGTGTTAACAAGATTTTTCTATTTTTAGCTCCGGTGACCTAGTTTCACATGCGATTTCGAACTCATCCAAGCAATTACCTAGACAAGCATTCTGACCAAGTTTGATGATAATGGAGTCGAAAATGTGACCACTAGAATGTTAACAAGGTTTTTCCATATTTGGGCGGTGTGACCTAGTTTTTCATCCAAGATGACCCATGTTCGATCTTGACTTAGAAATCATCAAAACAAACTTTCAGACCAATTAACAGAATATTTGGATCACAACAGTAGCCACTAGAGTGTTAACAAGGTTTTTCTATTTTTAGCTCCTGTGACCTAGTTTTTCATCCGAGATGACCCATGTTCGAACTCATCCGAGTTATTACCTAGACAAGCATCTTGATCAAGTTTGATGATGATTGATGCAAAAATGTGACCGCTAAAGTGTTAACAAGGTTTTTCTATTTTTAGCTCCGGTGACCTACTTTTTCATCCGAGATGACCCATGTTCGAACTCATCCAAGCTATCAACTAGATAAGCATCCTGACCAAGTTTGATGATGATTGATGCAAAAATGTGACCGCTAGAGTGTTAACAAGGTTTTTCTATTTATAGCTCCGGTGACCTAGTTTTTCATCCGAGATGACCCATATTCGAACTCATCCGAGCTATTATCTAAACAAGCATCCTGACAAAGTTTGATGATGATTGGGTCAAAAATGTGACCACTAGAGTGTTCACAAGGTTTTTCTATTTTTAGCTCCTGTGACCTAGTTTTTCATCAGAGATGACCCATGTTCGAACTCATCCAAGCAATTGACTAGACAAGCATTCTGACCAAGTTTGATGATGATTGGTTCAAAAATGTGACCACTAGAGTGTTCACAAGGTTTTTCTATTTATAGCTCCTGTGACCTACTTTTTCATCCGAGATGACCCATGTTCGAACTCATCCGAGCTATCACCTAGACAAACATCCTGACCAAGTTTGATGAAGATTGGGTCAAAAATGTGACCTCTAGAGTGTTCACAAGGTTTTTCTATTTTTAGCTCTTGTGACCTAGTTTTTCATCTGAGATGACCCATGTTCGAACTCATCCGAGCTTTCAACTAGATAAGCATCCTGACCAAGTTTGATGATGATTGAGGCAAAAATGCGACCGCTAGAGTGTTCACAAGCAATTGTGGACGGCCGGACGGACGACGGACATTCATCGATCCTAAAAGCTCACCCTGAGCAAGCTAAAAAACATGCTCATAAAATTAACGGTCATGCATAACTATAACACTTTAAAAGTAGAACAAAAAAGGCATGGGGTAAAAAAGCAAAACAACTCAACTAAATCAAGTATACCAACATGAAATCACCCGTACCTAAAAATAAAGAAGAAAATCAAATTAAAATCACATTAAAATTCATGAATTAAATACGGATAAAAGTACGGATATTTGACGGGAAAAGACATGGCTCAAAAGGAGGTCAGTTAAATCGAAAGTAGAATGTAAACATAATTTATTTTAAAAAAAGAGAAGCATACTCATTTATTTTGATACTTTATCGAGTCAATAATTATTTTGTTCCAATGCACAAAAATATCTTGGAGAATCTCGGAGGACAATTACTGTGCCACTTTCAACTGCTATCGGCAAAATTCAGTCTCCGAGACGCCTCCGAGATTTAAGGAGGTTTGCGGAGTTTCTCCGCGATTTTCCTCTCAAGTTCCTCCGCGGAAACGCGAAAAAAGCACATTCCGCGCGATCTGTACTGTACGACTTTATAAGTCCTACGTAGGACTTTATAACTCCTAGGTAGGAGATAAAAAAACCTAATTAGGAGTTTTAAAGTCCTACGTAGGAGTTTAAAAGTCCTACGTAGGAGTTTATAACTCCTACGTAAGATTTTATGTGTTCCTCTACGTAGGAGTTAAAAAGTCCTACGTAGGAGTTATAAACTCATAATTAGGCTTTTCTATCTCCTACGTAGGAGTTTTCAATTTTTATAGAACATGTTTAATTGGCACCAGGACGCTCCGTAGAAGTTTTTAAAATGTTGTTCTGTTTTACATAAAAATCTAGAGATTTAAAATATTTTGCACACAAACTTTGTTGTTTAGCTGTTTGAATAAAATATGTTAATTATGACCAATTTATACACTGGTCACATGAAAATATGCCATTACCGTGAAATAAGTTAATGATGTTGAGTATACTTGTCTTATTATATCGAAAAATTGTGTCTTGATTGTTGAACAATTTTGCAAAAATTGTCATTTCAATTATTACTGAAAATACCTAAAATGAGATTCTTTGCTTAGTAGATTTATCAACCTTTCCTGAACACATTCGTGATTTAATTTTGGAAGCAGTTAGTCCAAAAAATGTGTTTTTAAACGTTTTAAAACGGTACCTGTACCATTTTTATCTGCTATTCGCGTAACCTGTCAATTATCGATAATGCTCCGCCCCCTGTTGAGGCATCAATGAGGGAAATCGGTAGTTCCATATATCCGTGAATTACCCGTCCATACTGGTCCATACTACTCGTGATTCATGTATCGTACAAATACCGTACATCTTTTATGAATATCGTCTACCTTTTATTAAGCATTTTTATAATATAAGAAATTGTCGGCCAATGTACGTAACATAATGTATGAAACATAAATGATTAAGCATAGCGGCAAATCGCACGACCACGGGTTGATTTAAAATATAGTTGCTAAAATATCCATAATTTGTGAAAATAATTTGTCTGTCCCGTTAATCTGATAGATATTACATTGAGTTTATGGACTTTTGTACGGATTCGTCGGCTTGCTTTACATTCAACCTCGTTTTCTAACAATGTCAAGTAAAACAACAACAAAAACAGACAACATTTTTAATGTGAACGCCTATATATGACTTGTGGTAAGGTGTCCCTGACAAATTTCTAAACCATTTTAGATTGTTTAAGGATGATCATTTCTCTATGAATCAATAAAAAAAGATATTAATATATACTATCAGTGAATGCTCTGAATAAATTGTTCGCCAGTAAATCGAACACAGTACTAATAAACCTGGGACAAAGTATGGAATTTATTGTATATCCCAGTAGAAACTGGATATCTATGCCGTGCATAGATGATTTTCATGATAAAAGAAGTCATAAAGGTCAGATCATAATGATCGACTGATACCTTTTATTTCTATTATAATATGTCAAGCATTTATTTCAATTTGGAGGAAGAAATATATAATATCTCGTTTTTATTTTTACATTTACCATGGACTTTAAAAGACCATCAGAAGCTCAGTTTTTTGTTATTTTAATTTATATTTTAACGGAATTTCATACACGAATACACAGACAGAGTGACACTGGTATAATATAATAATAATGCTGATGATAATAATAATCTTCAAAAGTGAAACAATTAAATACTCCGCTAGCGGTGCGCAAATACGTTCCATTTCCCCCCACCGAGTGCCTCAAATTTTACCGAAAGTCACGTGACATGTGCGACCGACAGTAAATCACGTTAAGATTTGAAGAAATTTCTGTTATAAACTGATATTAATCAGCAACTTTTTAATTGGTCAGATGTCACTGGGTCATAAAATGTTGTTAGAGTATGATAGCGCAACTTGTGACCCTCTCTGGTGCGATATTTGTGTATTATGCAATTATTTAGCGTGAAACGTAGGGGTCCGAGAGAGAACAGCCGATTTATGACACTTCGTTTGATGCGGGTCGGACTAACTTTGAATCGGCATAACTTTTTTAATAATCAAGCAATTAACATGCGGTTTAAAGCACATGAAAGGGAATTTATTTACGGAGGGAACCGTGTCAGGGATTTTTGTTTGCTCAATCAGCGGCTTAATTATCTTTAATTACGTAATATGTATGGTGAAAAAAGTCGCATAAAATGTTTGACGTTACGTAATATTTTTTTGAGAAAAGATAGAAAAAATTTGAGACACGGTTCCCCAGATATTATAAGTATGCTTATTTTCCAAAAGTTTGATGACAAAAAAATAAAAAATGACATTGATATGACGATTTAAAATTTTAGGATTTTAATTAAAAATAAATCATTTACAAAGGCATTTTTTTCAAATATGTTATTTTTTATGTTGATCAACGACATTTAATGCACAAAGATTAAATAAATAACAATTATTACTAAAATAAGTTGGTTTAAATGACATTTATGTGAGTACCACGGAAAGTGTCTGTTGTCACCTTAACATCTTAATGATTCATGTATTATTATGTAAGTAAGTGTGATCTGTGATAATTTTACAGTAAATGGACCTCATTGGAAATAATTAAGCTTTTGGCTTAATGGGCAATCCTAGGGTAACATAAAACATACTAATTAATGAATTTTATAATAATTTTTGTGTGTTTTAATAGAGTCACCGTACCAGTGCTCAACCAGTTTTTCACAAAATCACATAAAAACTCTTACAGAACAAAAAGTTTGCTGGGAAACTTATTTTTGTTACAAAGCTGGCCCTTTCAAACTCACAATAAGCTAAAGCGTTTTAATTACACAGATCAGGATACAATTTACCATGGAGTTGTATATACTAGGGTATAAAACCTCTATATTTTTCAGGCAACCAAACCAGTGCTCGACCAGGTGGTTTTAACTCTATCAGAACTTTTATTTTTTAAAAACAGATATGACTTTTTATGTTCAACAATTCTATTTCAAAAATATTTTGAAACATTTATGTTATAGTGTCTATAGATGTAAATTATGAGAGCAAATATGATACGAAGGAAATGCTATACATTGACAAATAAAGTGTTTACAAGAGTTTTGGAATTTACATATACTGGGGTGTTTGAGATTACATGTTCTCATATTTATTTACTAAAATCACTCTGCAAACATAGTTAAGTGTGATAATTGGTGTAATATACAAATGGTCTATGCTTTTAGTGGTGTGTTCCCGATTTGTTTCCTGACAGCTGCCATATTTGTTTACAAGTTCATAGCCCCTGCCTATAATGGAAAGCAGGGTTTTGATAATTTTTGGGCACCTTTCCTATGGAAATCAATTGGAATCATAAGAGTAAAGGCAATTTCACAAAGTTACAATTGTCCACATTTGCCCTAAATTATCATTATTTCAGTGTTTTAAATAGTTTTTACTGCTACTTTTATTATAGAATTGTATTTTTGTACTGTTTAATATTGTCTGCAAAAAGGCCAATCTTCTACCAAACTTTGAGTACTTGTACATGGTGTAGAGGTTACAGGTCAGGTACAAATAGCACACACAAACTCCCAGAGTTTTTCCACTTTAATGCATAAATCGTACACAAATAGAAGTATTGGTCGAGCACTGGGCTGGTCGAGCACAGGTACTGTGACTCTATATATGTTAAGTTGATATACATGTATGTGATACTATTGTATGTGTTTATGTATATTCCCTGAATAAATCGATACGATCGTTGGCATATGTTTTATCGTGGACTAACCAGTTCTCAAACCTCTAAGCATTCAAGAGGTCTTTTAATGTAAATAAAAATATATCTTTATAAAAATTCTTTACATATGTACTGGTTGGGGACCACCAAAACCGGACAACCACCAAACCCGGACGGCCCCGAAAATGCTTGATTTAGAATTTTCTTTGTTCAGTGGTTGTCAGTCACTTTTTTATCAACAATAAATGCATGTTTCTTCTATAATTAGGTAAATAAATTTATTTCAACCTCCGTAAATGGTAATATTTTAATGTCTATTTCAAGAATGTTGACATTGAAATTTGGGGGTCAAGAAAGCAATGCCTGACCTCATATAACAGCAATAATTATTTGCAAAGTAAACAATAGAATATCCAAAACTTCAGCATTTTCTGCTGAAATATTGTGTGTCATGTTAAAAATAAAAAAAAGAACACCAAAGCTTTTATCTGAATTAAATCAACATTATTACATATCTGTCCGGACACATGGTACTGTAGTATGTACAATTTAGGTAATTTTGATACCCTCCTTGACGGGCCTCGGATATAAGTGTCAACATAATCAGAACTAAACAAACTAGTTTGTTAGTTAGGAGAAGAACCTAGCTGTACTGTGTCAAATTTTCGTACCTTTAGCTTTAAAATTATGAAATTTGTATAGAAAAATGTTAAAAAAGTGTCCGGTTGATGGTCCCTGACCAGTACACTTTAATCTTTATGTAACATTTCTGTAAAATTTGACTGAAATTCAACTATTAAAAAAGCTCTATTTCCATCTTGGAAAAGCACATACCTCTGTTTTAAAACTAATATGGCCTCTTAAAATAAAGAACCTAATCTCAAACCCCTTCATGTATCTCTAAAATTCTACTGTTTAGTTAAGCCAACGAAGTGATTGTCATGACAATGAAGTACCCTACACGATGCAGTTACCTGCCTTAAGATATTTTTGTCTATTATATTCATTTTCACAAATAAGTAATGGTGTATTTATGGGACTTACAAAGGTAATAGCAATTTGTATGAAATCATGTTAAGTAATAAAATATGTCATGTAAATATTTGTTCCTATGCACTGTTTTCATTTGACAACAGCAGACATGTCTGTCAGAAACTAAACTTTTATGCACACAAGTTCAGGACATCATAGTCACTTCTAGTAAAAAAATAACAGCACATGAATGAAAGGTTTGAGAATAGGTTGGGTGTGAGATTAGGTACTTGTATCCCGAAACAACCAATTTTCAATCACAACCTAAATTCAAACACATTCTTAATTTGGTGGCACTGATGTCATGCCTGACTAAATTGCATAAAGTCGCATTTTGTATTAACTTCAAAACTTGCAGAAATGCCACACTTGATTAATTGTCAGATGTTTTCAGAAAAACAATAAGAAACTGTTTGTTTTAAGTGACACAATATTAATTGCCCATCTTTCACTATATCAAAATAGTCACTTGTTTAAAATAGTGTTAAATTTTTTTATAAGCAAGTTAAATTTCTTATAAAGTATTGGCTAAAGAGTTTTACCATTTACCTCAGTCCTAGGTGTTTTTAAAACATTTATTAATATGATGTACCACTGAATATTCATCAGACTTTACACGGGGGTCCTTATTAATAAAATCTTATATTGTTATCAAATTTTTTTCATGTGATGATTGTAGAATAATTGTTTTGTAAGCGATACCAGCTGGTAGATCTAGACAAGTTTCCATATTTGCTAATATTATAAAGTGGGGAAGGCAAAATAGCTGTAAAGATTGGATGCATTAATCATTTTGCACCCCAAATAGCGTACTAAGATGTGACACCTTTAACTGCCTTTTATGCACATTAACAGTAGTCATACCAATGCATTGTGCTGTACATATGTTATAACATTTAGTGTAATTTTTTTTAAATCTTAAAAAAACTGTTGAAAACCGTTGAATAGACTATATATGAAGTTTTCTACAATTTTTAGTGGCCCTGATTTATCTTTAACAAATTTTCCATGGTGATTACCCTACTGTTTGAATTTAGGTTAAAATATTCCTGGGAGTAACCCGAGTGGGTCCTATTGTTTTTATTGAATTTCTAAGAAAGATCAAGACTTGTTGAAAATGTACCAATCTGAAAATGAATAAGTGTTAATAGATGCATTAATAGCTAAAATAAATTTAATGTATAATTTCCCCTTCCATTTATTATTGGCTAAAAACAGCTTAACTGATTGAATATTGCATACATGTGACAAATGAAATGGGCCAAATCTGGATTTTCAGCTGGATTTTGAGGCTCAAAACTGGATTTTTTTATCGACTCGAATTTCAGTGCGTGTTTGGCGCATTTGGTTCAAAGAATCTATATTACCCTCAAAATCATTAAATGATAATACTTTTTATGATTTTTTTGTTTATCAATATTAATTTATTTCACCAAAAAAATAAATAAATAAATAGATAAATAAATAAGTGTAGTCATACTGGTTATTTCTAAAACAGTCACACTTTCACATTTCATTATTTTCAGTTTGAAGAATTATAATGTCTTTTCAGTCATTCAATAATTAAACACAAGCTATTTTGAAAACGTGCAACAACTATTCATAAACATAAGACTATGACAGTTAAATAACGTAACATAAGTAAAAGACTCAAAATAAATGCAAGAATCGTTCTGTTAATTAAATCCACATTTTTTGCCTCGATGATTGCGTAATTCCTAAACAAAACAAAAAATTACCCACTCACTAAAATAGGTTAATTAGACATCTCAAACAGGTTTTGAATGATCCACTTTAAATGATTCTGCTCCCCTTTTATCTTTATCAGTGCGGCACTAATCAAAGAAAATCAAAGGTTGAGCCGAATTCATACATGTAAATTTACAGGGTAGTTTTGATGACGTAGCGTGTAATACCTACTGCCAAATTACAAAAGAGGTCAATTGACTGACACACGACACGTGATAAGTTAAACATGTGAGAATAACTTTGGGTATTGGAACTGTTTATTACGTCACCTTGCTGTCAATTAGCGACTCAACATTTAATCCGCTATAATTTAGGATATGGACAGATAACAATCAATGCCCGGAGGCACGGTTTACATTTTAGATACAGGTGCTGTGTTTGATTTTTTTTATGTTGATTTTCTTTTAAATATCGGGAATTCAAGCTGTAATATCGGGAATCGGGATAAGTGTTGAAATATCGGGATTTTTTAAAATCCCGCCGGGATGTCACATGTATGATATTGGTTGTCCCGGGATACGATAAATCATTGTAAAAAAAACTGAAAGGGCCGAGAATTTGCGATCGACTTGTTTTTAATGAAATCACTTCCAGGAATAAGTGCATAGATTATAAGATAACTCATGAACAGAAGAATTTTCTTTCATAATATTCGTTATCAATTTGTGTTGTTTTATATCATTTATTGCGATTTTACGCCGAGCAGTCCAACTATCACTGACTATAATGAAGTTTTTCAACCACGAAAGTCGCGAAATTTAGCGCCCAAATTTAAACAACAAACACTGAAAACATCAACGCAACTTTTATTTATATAAATAAACATCCTTAAAACTTAAGTTTTTTTTATAAAAAGAAACTTAACATTCACTGATCACCTACCGAACACTACCAAAGTAGGTTTATGTCCACATTTTCAATAACCTGCGCAGACGACAACACAATCGTTTCAGGGATAGAGATCGATGACGTAATTTTAGCGCCTGTCTGTCAATGTATTTACCCTCAAGTATCGAAAGTAGAAAAAAGAAGGTTATATTGAATATCTATTTAATCCAGTTTATTATTTAAGTCTCGATTTGATCGCTTCGACGTTCACCCAGAAGAATGATCATTTAAAAGTGGATTTCACAAATTTCATACATAAACTGAAATATTTCAGTGGTGCAAAAAAAATTAAAAAAAAAATCCATAGCTCTTTTTTCTACATTCTATAGAATTTGACAATAATTGCGAATGTCAATAAACATATTTGACATAGCTTAGTAACAAAAATCGGAGTAAACTTTTATAAACATTTCTTATTTAACAAAACCATATTCTTTTAATCTATATATCAAAATCATTCTAAACAACACATGGAATGTAACTCTTAACAGCCAAGGGTTCAATTGATATCGAATTAATAATCCATATCTAGAAACTAACCGTGAATAGATCTAGTTATCACTTTTTATACAATGTTATTAGTTAAGAAACATGCTATATGAAGAGAATATTAAGTAACAATTTCAATGTAAAATAAGATAAAGTTATACTATACCGCTATTTACAAATTTCAAACACATTTTCCTTTCAGACAAAACGAATGATAACATCAGCGTTACCTCCTTTAAAATTAAAATGTACATACGACTTAACAATTAATGAAAATATAGCCTATTGACAGATGTGAAAAAAAGATTTATTCACAGTTTGGTTCATGCAGAGCAGAAATAATCGCGGAATGATAATAATGATGTACTTGACGCCAACGTTTCCGGAGAACATTGAAATGTAATTGTGTCTAAGCAAATAGACCGAAAATTAAAACATCGTTTAAAAAATCAACAAGATTTAAATGTGAATTATTCAACGCGATTTTAACACATTTAAATGCTTTTTACCAAGTATATAATTCAATATTAAATCGGTTTATTAAGCTTACAACGCTTGAGACTCCATAGAACTTTTTGATTTTTCTTCATTCACGCAAGCATTTTATTAAAACAGATGCTGCGCTATATTTAGCTGCAAAGGCCTGCGCCAACCATCGATTTTGTGCAACATCAATACACGAATGGTGCATAACTCTTGCAAGTTTTCCCGCGCTCTATAGGTATGCAAGGAAAGTTTGAAAAGTTTGTTTTTATACGTAAAAAGTTGTTCTTAGAGTAATAAATCAAAATTAATGGGGTTTAGATGGAAGAATACGCCTGGGCGGGCTCGAAGAGTTGAAATGCACATCGAAAATTAGTTTGTTGTCAAAATGCGGCACCGTTTTCACAGCTGGGACGGGTTAGTTGGATGCAACTGCACCCTATCAAACGTTCAAAAATTGATTAATATTTATAGTTTTCTGCTGTTTTCAAGTTGTTTTGCATCTGAACTGTTAAATATAGCCAATTCATGCACACCAAGAGACTGCAACAAGGCAGCTGTAAGCCTTGTTATGTTAAAACGTTGCTAAGATTGAACAAGAATGGGCCTGACGTCCCAGGCTTTGTTCATTTTTTGCTGCGATTTCTATCACGTGTTTCGTCCGATTCTATCGCCAATTAATAGGAATAAAAGAAGAAATCTATTGACTTTTTAAAAAGGGTGTTGCATTCGGTATTGTTTTGGACGGAAGCTGGGCGAAATGGGAGAACTTCAAGACTGTTTGCAGGTGAGCACAAGGCTACAAAAAGAACCACCATGGAGATTTTCAAGTTAAACACGCAAATATGCGCCGCACGAAGATTTCATGCAGATGATTTATTAACGAGTCGAAGCGGTGGAAAACAATGCTAACATTTACATTGTTATCACCCCTGACATGCACGTTGCGGAGAGCATCAAGATTGTTTTGAGAAGGCTTGTGCACAGTCCCGTCTTGGCGCAACTGAGATAAGAGTTTTTTGGTGGGGTAATTACCGCGATGTGGCCGTCAGACATTCGCAGCCATGGTCGGGGATGACCCTTGCTAACACATCTGCTTTTGGTAAATGATTGAATACCCATTGGTACTATGAGGACAGCCCGCATTGCCAGTGACTGGCATGATGCTCTAGACTTGTTTATGGCCAAAAACTTAAGGACGAAGTGCGCTTCTAGAATTACAAAGTCGCCGTTGCGCAAATAAAAAATACGGTGACAAATTGATGCAAGTGCCCCATATCTTAAATTCCTTGATTAGTTAATTGAAGGATACTGTATTTCAACAATATTGTTTGATTTATAAGTGAATAACAACATTATGCACAGTTCAAAATAATCAAACGAGCAGACCATATGAAGTATTAAACAAAAGACGCAAAAAGACACCTTACAAAAATGCTTGCATGTTCTTTCTTTTTTATGTTTAACAGTGAAGTTAAGCAAGCAGTCTTAATTATTTGACACGTGCTTAAGTCATACAAGCTTTGTTTTGGTACCAGACAATATTTTTTGTAATTACACAAGTGATATTTTGTCTTTAGTTAAACACAAGGAGGAACGCAATCGTAATATACTACCTCAGTTCTCTGTAAACCAATATCACAGATGTATGTTTTTAACATTTACAGACTTTTAACCGAGGTATTAACATTTTCTAAATCAAAATTTACCGCCACAGTAACAGGAAGTGCATTGCTTGCATTAGGCGGCAAATTTAAATCACAGTATCGATTTTGCACTATATGCAATGCCGCTGCAACCTGTTGCAAAACACACTGGCATAGCAGTTGCATACCGTAGGGTTTTTGCCGTTTGACAAGAAAAGAGTATTTGTCTTCCACACGACGACCACACATTTTAATCTAATCAGTCATCTTGGCATACAAGAGTATGATTTTGTCATTTACGTTGAAAATAAACAACCGAAAAGTCATTACTATTCAATAGACTTTGAATAAAAAATGAATAAATATTGAATGGAAATTGTACTCAAAGACGGCTGTGGGGGTTTCAATGCACACGTACTTGTGTCTTACACCGTTCGAATGACATCACAATAAAGAAAAAATATAAATTACTTTTTACCATCGAGCCTGAGTTGGCACGGGCCCATTTTAGAGAATTTGAAATTAATGATAATTTGATGTGATATTCAGATAATGTAACTACAGATCTTGAAAACAGCCATTTTTGAAATGGCTTTTATAGAGACCCAACATTCCAAACGTCCTATGTGTAAGGCTATAATTATATAAAATGAACTAATCTATAAAACACGTGGAGGTGCAATGCATGTACAATCTGAAAATAAACAGAAAGTTCATTTTGCATTGAAATTATTATTAAAAAAGCAACATTAAAACAGTTTGTTGGATAAAGACTAGGGACAAAACAAATGCTCATTAAAGGCTACAAAAAAGCAGCAGCAGAGTTACACTTTCTGAAAGTTTTAATGCATGCCTTGATAAGAGTGTTTTGGTTGAAAATTCATACAAAATAGCAAACAACAAAAGATGAGTAACTTATAAGCCCATGTTATCTACGATTTAATATATTAAAAAAGTAGGTTAGTATGGTGTTCCGTTCCCTATACCAGTTCATTAAAAATGAAAAGATGATTTTGAGTACTTACAATTATTTAACAGAAAATGTTTACCATTTTCAACGTCATTGTATGGTTTAGAAGTGCATCTGACGTATTTCATAATGATTATATGTTATATTACAGAATTGCTATATTAAAACAAAATTCTCTGTGAATACTGTCGCTAGTTGTTTTACTTCCTTTAAAATTATGTCCACTTATATAATTTGTAGCATCTACTACAATGACTATTTGCAAGCGACTTTGCTGTTTCTTTAACATTGGTTAACGATTGCTACATGTATATATCTCTTTCGCAGAATATAAACTGGACCTTTTAACTATTGTTTAACATACATATATTGTACTAGCACTCAACAGAGGTCTTCATTATGATAAAACTGTACAAATTAGCATTTTTACACAAAAATGTTGTTCTCAAGACTTGCTTTAGATCAAACTTTTCTACAAAGCGATACATTTTAAACTATATCGTACTCTTTCATATCTTTCTTTATCTGTAGTAACTTATTACATGAAAGCAAACTGAAGCCATCTTTGAATATACATGTTTATATATATAATTTGTTTAAGTATCCTTGCCTTGCATATTATAAATTACTAAGCATGAACAGCGATGGTGCTGCATAAACAAGTTGTGCTTTCACGTAAATTAGAAACGAGGGGAAAGGCGACATTTGGTTATGCGGTTTTAAAATTGTTTCATTTTAACTGGAGTGAACCTGCGGCGATACGACTAGACTAATGCAGAAACCACTGCGTATTGTGTTATCATCTGAAATTCACATCTCCAGCAAAATACGATTTGATTCGAAATGAAACTCGATACTTACGTTGAAGAAATATAATCTAGTTTAAAAGGGCAAAATATTCTAGCTTTTAGGAATGATAGAGCGACGTGCGAAGCTTTATTTACAATGGTTTCCATAAAAACAGTTAATTTTACATGTACAAATATTCAAAAACGCACAATGAAATCAGGCAAAAGACTTTATTATAATGTAAACTTTGCATGCCATATAAACTTTGTTTATGTTTTATTTATATCTTTATTGAAACACAAACATGAAATTTATTAAAATCTATCAATTGTTCAGTCATATTTCAAGACAAGCTTCATTAATTAAAATGGATAAAGAAACTACCTATATCATCTATAAAGGAAAAGGAACTGTTCTACGCGCTGAAGCTTGCGAGGTAGCAAGTATTGGAAAAGGTTTGTCAGGCCGGGTGACGATAATGAGTAAGAAACCGCAAGAGGCAAGAGCCCCAGTAATACCATTGTCATTTTCTAACTGAACAAAGCTGTGAGAAATTGATCGGGATAGGGTTGAAGGTCAGAGTAAAGTAAACACTGTGGTTGAAACCGTCATGGGCAAAGAAGAAGGAACGTGGCCCGTTCAGTTGATCAGTCTTCGAAGGAATATTATTTTGGCGTTCCATTTTACAAAATATGTGCTTAAATCATATTTTTTTCTATGTATATGTTTTTTGATTAATCTGTCTGTCTTATATAAACCAATTCTTTGTACAGATTTTTATTTAAAGTATACATGATATATTTCCGTTCCAAGAGTTCTCTTGCCTATTTGATGTTTCTATTCAAAATATCCTCTGTTGTCGACAACAGATTTTTATCCGTTCGACCATCCGCCGATACATCCGTGCCGTCTAATCACGGTCTGTACTGTTCGCTATTCAGTCTGGTACATACTTTACATACGGCATATGTTCATTATTTCATAGATATTCTTTATCTTAAAATTTTGTTCTAAGTAACTTATTTTCTTTACCAACTATTTTACAAAAAAAGAAGGAAACAACAACAGTAAAACACATTGTTTTCATATATAGTTTAACTTTTAAACAAGAAATATATTTTACAAAAAGATACCCGGTCGAAGTAAAATTGAACACTTTAAGATGTATGTGTTTCTTAACGAACCTGTCGTGTTTCTGTAAGTTAACTCAAATTCTAACACCAACATCTAAGCAGAAGGTAGCCAATTATTTTTATTGATACTTGATTAATATGCAAACATATGTGAAAATTATAAACATCATATCAATTAAAAATATCAATAATCATATAATACATTAGACACTTATTGAACATTAAAAACTTAGGATACCTGATAAGTTCCGATATTATTCTTGTTATTTTGGACAAATTTTAAACTCAGATTTTGTGTAAAGTAACGTAAAACAGACTGTTCACTAGAAAATGTAATGAGATCTGAATGCAGTTTAAAATATTTTGTAGAATGAAGTATTGTTTAAACAGAACTTAAATATCTGAGCAATTTAACTAGAAAGTTAAGGAACTATCCTGTACATTTTAATTTAGAACTATCCTTTAAAGTATATTTTATAATGGCAAGATCTACCCTTTACATTTTAGTTTATTCTCTTAAATATGACACATATGAGTATTATTTTGCAAGTAACCTGGAATCAATGAAACGAAACAAAGTGTTCCATTTCTATTTATTTAATGTTGCAATTAGGTTTGACTGTGCACATGTGCCGCTTGCTTTGAAATATCTTTGTTATAGTTTAGGTACTTTGGTATGCACAGTCATTGTTTAAGACTTTTGTCGCCTAAATGTATTGTATCATGGTAGGGTAACCAAGTCACTCAGTAAATTCAATAAACCAGCAATCGGCATTCAGGAAAAAAGCTTTTCTTCATAGGTTGAACATTCTGCTGATAACTTACAATATAATATAGCTTTATATACATGTTTTCTTAAAGTTAATTCATGTGAGTAACTATTCATGTGTTATTGAAGTCGTAAACTTAAATGGTAGTTTACATTTAGGTCTTTCCCTTCTTTAGAAATGCAAACATTTAGATAATGGCGTTAGAGCATGTTAGATGTTTATCACCTACAAAAACAAAGCGCTGACTGTAAAATTATTAGTCGCAAAATGTAAACATTTAAATATTTTGACTTCAATACAAATACTAAATCTCTAAAACTGTAATAACTGCTAAAGCAACAATAGCAAAGCAAAAGATGGTTCAGGTAATTGGCCCATCAGTAACTTTTTGGAAACTATAACAGGATACCGATAATAGACAGATTTTGAAAAATAAGAATAAAGCATCTCTGTGACATCCTTGAAGAATACATGTACAAAATGTATAAACCGTTTCTAATTCTATCAATCGTAACAGCAATATAAGTTTTACACTGTATTTCTAACATGGCAATGTTATATCTTTAGTATCACCTCTCTGATAACGTTTATTTTGGAGTAACTATTCACGTGCAATAGAAGATTTAAAACCTTATGTAAATATATCACTTACAGGGATACGGTGTTTGTGTAATTAATCTGAGGCAGTCGTTTTCTATTTCAATAATATGATCAGGTTAAACACTGGCGTTTAGCTGTTTGTTTACACTATCAGGCTCAGCATTTAAAGTCATACGCTCATAATTGTATTATGATATTATTAAACTAATATTTTATCGCTGAGGTATGGCATATTTAAGTAGAATGTTTGGACAAAAGCATGTTCAAGTCTTGTCAATTTTTTTTTTAATTTTTGAAAAGAAGATTTTTTTATAATCTAAAAATTAAACTAGAATGCTATTTAATGATAAAAGCACATGTACGTACTGCATACTGCATAACAAGAAACATTCACTGAGAAGAGAACTGGAATGTTTTGATTTATTTTATTCCGCTCAGTTGGTAACACAAATGTGACCATTTTTATTATTTTAAAGACTGAAATTTTACTTTGAATGTTATGGGTTTACTTAACATGTTTTAATATGTGACACTTGTAACTTTTGATATAATGTCATTTGTGTGTAATTAAAGTACTGGTATTTCAACAGGTGTTTTTGACCAATGAAATACGGCTGATATTTTCCTTAGAATGCAAAGTTAAACAATTAAGGCAAATGTATTGTGTATAGATACTACATGTATTTACTATCAATGTTTGGGTTATTTCATTACTTTTTAGGCGACAATGACTATCACTTGATAAAAAGTTTAATGGGGATGTAACGTTTAATATTAGACAGACATTGTATTTAATTGTGAAATCAATAAAAGGGGGGAAAATAGAGATGAAATACATATTTCGTATGTTGGATTGGTGTGCACATAATTGAATAACGATTTGCAAGTTCTATCGCTTTCTTAAGTACGAATAAATACATTGTTTTGGTAAAAATAAATTCCTTATTCGCTTTTGCTTTTATCTTAGAAAGAATGAATATAACCTGTGTAATTACTAGCAATATCAAGAATGCATATTTGAAGTTTGGTTACATTCGGTCACTTAAATAGGATCAATGAAAACATTTGTAATTATCAGTGCGATCAAGGATGTGGTGTGATATAATGTATATAAATGTATATACTGTTGAATTTCTTAACAACTTCGAATGAGTCATGGACATACATATATTATATGTTGTCCTAATAAAGTATGGTGCTGTCAGAACTGTTTTCATTTCTTTATTGGTTTGAATCTTTATGAAATACATCATGCATAATAAAAAGATTGTTGTAAGAGTGTCTTGATTAAAAAGTTGCACATGATTATATAAATATATGCATGTATCTACTTTGAGAATTGGGATAGGATTATAGAAAGATTTGTTGTAAGCTGGTTCAAGCTTTGATCTGCGCTTGTTTCTTAAATAAAAATTCAGGAAGGTCATGTCTAAATGTTGAATACTGCTTGAGTCGTTGCTAGTGTGCTTGGACGGTAACGTGCGCTTACCACGGCCGTCCATGAACAGATTTAAATCAAACTGAGCTTGCAGCGTTTTCAGTTTTACATTTATTTAAAGATTCCACTTTTCTCTAATTGATCTGAAAGTCATACTTTCTCCAAAAATAAGCTCTAATCTTACTCGATAAGGGTATACGTTAAACATAGATATGATGTGAGTTTATTCCGAAGTTTGATCTGCGGTTGTTTTTAAGTTCAAAATTTCTCCATTGACATGTTTAACTTAAGCCAGTGCTAGGTGGGAGAGAAAAGTAGATCGCATTTACCACTATTGTTCATGAACAGGCCCAAACCGAGCCTGCAGCGTTAATAAAAAAAAATGCAGTTTTGGGCGTTTTTTAGAGTTTCCGATTCTTCCTATTTTTGTGTAGTGGTGATGAAATAAGTAAGATTATCTTTGGAAAATAATAAAAAGAAAACTCCAGGTCTCATAAGGGTGTTTTTATGTCACTCTCAAAGCATACAAGCAAGAAGATCTCCAGTGTTTCACAGAAAATATACCGCCATAATTTGAAAATGCTTTGAACTTACCTAACACTAAGGCAAGACAGAATTTTATTCGACAATAAATACATGTCTCATAACCATTAAAATGATTTTCATACAACAGAAAATAAAAGAAATATGTAATATTTTACATATCGAGTAAACTATACTATAGAGCGTCTTGAAAAGGCAAAAATCATCAACTGACAATGAAAATAGATTAGTGAAAATTTCACACAATGTTTGAATGAGAAAAGATCCTTCGAGAGGAACGAAAACGAAGTTAAAACGTGAAAATTATAGACCCGGCTTGTTTAAATGAGCCGTGTCAAAAAACTAACATAGTGCGTTTGCGACCAGCATGGATCCAGACCAGCCTGCGCATCCGCGCTGGTCGCAAACGCATTATGTTGGTTTTGTCATGACGCGGCTCAAATCCGTGTATGAGAAATCATGGACAGTGCTACATCTCCCAAAAACCAAGCACTGGAGTATAACAAGAAATGCAAAATTTCTCATGCAAAACTTTCACTTGACAAAGTTTATGAGAATTTATTAACTCTGCCGAAGCTGAGTGCCTTCAGAATTTATTTTTTCTCATAAACAGAACCGATGGATTTGAATACATGACTTTGACTTGTTACTTTCCGTCTCTCCGTTTTCGGATAAAAAACGTATTTATATTTTATCTTTACAAAATCTGTATCTATAAATATGTTTTATGGAAGCTTATGCTTCACGGTCAACAATATGTCTCATTAGTATATGATGGTATGCCCAAACCCTGGCAATAGTTGGGGGAAATCTTCATGGTAAACCATGAAGATTCCAGTGTTAGTCTTTTAAAGCATCACCTATGTATAACATACCAATATATTTAGCCTAAACGAGCTTAAAAAGACTTGTCCTGCTTACATATCAGGAACACTGTCTGAATTATCTTTTTGGGTTATGTCACGATAGAA